AGCACCACTTCCCGTTGTGAAACTAGTAAGTAGTGCAACTCTTCTAATCTCGTAAGCAAGAACGTATTCAGAATTTTTTGGTGAGAGGGGGGGGGGGGGGGGGGGGGGGGGCACGACTATATTTTATGCCTGTCCTCCGCGTTCTCAATTGTGCGAGTGCGTGTATATATGCGCAAGCAAGATTAAAAACTGTCGAGCGGGGGGGGGGGGGGGTTGAACTTCCCCGTCAAACCCCTCTTGGCTACGCCACTTTTTGTAAGGATGCAGCACATAATAGAGTCCCGGTGTATAGTAATATACATCCTCCAATTTCAAGCACTAATTTCGGTGTGCATGAAAGCATGACACAATACTTACAGCAATGTAAACGACTCCATATTCCGGCTCCAAGGCTTCTCCGATAGGCTGCGCGACATGCCGGTTTCTTGGGTCAAAATATGAATTCTACTCATATCGCGAAAAAGATATTTGCACGTGTCACTAAAATGACGGCCTTGTTATTTCTGTAAGATATAACCAGACGTTTCCGCCATTTGTCGGTCCCTGTAAAGCCACGCATTTTCTTTTTTTTTTACTTTCTGCATTTGCGCCTCTTCACTGCAAAAGTCCTACGTGATCATCCAGTACATTTCCTCCCCACCTTTGTTCTTCGTTTTAAACATGCTGCGACGCTTGCAGCTCTTTATTTTTTTCTCTGCTGCAATAGTAATTGTACGAACTCTTGGCATGTCTGCGGCGTTATGCCCCGTATATGTATGAATACATATAAAAAAGGCAGAAAGAGAAATAAATCCGAAGAAAAATATTCCAAAGCACCCACCCAACCGGGACTGAACCAGCAATCCTTCGCTCTACAACACGCCATAATTTTTTTAGGCGCGAAGCTCCTTTAAAGCATCACCTTGTCGGTCGTCCTTCCACCCTGCGTAGGCCACCATATCCACGGAGTGAATGATGATGAGTGGGGCGAAGAGTCCCTCCGTCCGATTCGTGCTCTAGCGCGATAGAAGCGGATGGACGGACAGACAGACGGACGCTTCGCTTTACTTATCATTAACTCCGTAGATATGCTATGGTTTTTCGTTAATTGCCAGTCATCGACATAAATCACCAAATAAACTTCACATATATATATATATATATATATATATATATATATATAAAGTTTATTGTCCGGCCTTCGTCAGGCAATATATATATATATATATATATATATATATATATATATATATATATATATATATATATATATATATATATATATATATGTATGTATATTCTCTACCATCTCCGATCATGCTGGAAAATAATTATGCAGCCAAATGTGAATGCGAATAGTAGTTATTGAGACGTTATAATTCGCAAAAAGATTAAAAGATTTCGTGTTGCCTAGACGGCGCTTCGACCTTTGAGCACCCATTGATCGATATGTGGGGTTTAACGTCCCAAAACCACCATATGATTATGAGAGACGCCGTAGTGGAGGGCTCCGGAAATTTTGACCACCTGGGGTTCTTTAACGTGCGCCCAAATCTGAGCACACGGGCCTACAACATTTCCGCCTCCATCGGAAATGCAGCCGCCGCAGCCGGGATTCAATCCCGCGACCTGCGGGTCAGCAGCCGAGTACATTAGCCACTAGAACACCACGGCGGGGCGACCTTTGGGCACCCAAGTGAAACTGTGTCGGGCTAAATATGCAATAGTAGTGGCCTGAGCAACGAAAGTTTTTCCTTAAATTTAAGGGACTGATATTCGATGACTATAATGGTTCATTCATGTTTGTCTCAATTTTATTTTCTGCCTTGGCGAAAATTGCAATATGCTGTATGTTTAGCGTAAATTATGAAAGACAGACTTTTTTCGTGAGTAATATATACACAACTTAGACTGTTCGCCTTGATTATCCCACTAAATCCACATTATGTGTTTCATAGGTTCCCATATTACGGCAGAGTTGGGGAAAATAGCACTTTGACTCATATTGCAGTTTCATCTTCGTAATGTAGCGGTCTAAGTAGAAATATGGCTTACATATTTTGTTGCACAGCATGCTTTTTAATTAAGAGTTACAGAAATTTTCAAAACAGTAATTTCTGTTTTAAAGGAGGGAAAAAATCAGCCGCGTATCTGCGTGCTTCGATGCAAAGGTCGTCGAAAGACGATAGAGTTTTGCCGGCCATTTATGTTTTGCCTTGTCTAAAATTGCCTAAGACAGTGCCTCCTCTATGTTAAATCGGCCACATCTGGCTCGCATTGATAAAATAAATGAGGCGCTGCGTGACATGTGCACGCCATCTGGCAATGCCGTCATGAAGCATGAGCTTCTGCAATACCCAGGGCCACTGCCAGGTGGCAGAACCGTGTTCTAAACATAGAGCTTTTTTTCTTTTCTGTGCACATCGTCGCATCTTCAGCAAAGCCTAAGAAACACTAGGGTCTTTAGAACTACGTCTTCATGTATTTTCAAGTAAAGGAATACACCACCTAATACTTATGTACTAATGTTGCATCCCAGATGTACGTAATATTTGCTTTTTGTTTGCCAATGTTCACAAGTATGAACGCAGCCACCAGCTCAAGATGGCTGGTGTTCAGTAAGGGCCTAAACTTTGCCCCAGTGGCCGAATCGTAAGACGGGCAGACAGACAGACCAAAATTTGTGCATCCCAAGAAAGACTATCGTCCTTAAAATTTCCAACTGAACAAATAGCAGGTCAGCGCAAGACTACAGTGGGGACTTTTTGGCAGCAAACAAATAACAGTGATCGCTAGCATGCGCCCCGGCTAGGCACGGTAGAGCGACCTAGAATTCTAGGTCACTCTAGGCACGGTCCGGCGGTTGCGAAGGTAGAGCCGCTTCTCACCAAGCAGCTCCTTTTACCTCGTAGGCAGCACAGAATCGAGCGGGGCTGAACACCACAGTCAAATCGCACGTTCTGGCCAGTTGTCGATCCCTGAACAGAGTTAGGAGGACGGTGTTTCGAGAGGTTGCGACATATCTCCAACAGTTGACTCACAGTGCACACCTCAGCAGAGGGTGGAGTAAATGCCGACGTCGCACGTGTCGTGTACGCTAGCCTACCTCTAGCTCCGCAGCACTCGGTGTTGGTGCTTCGCCGTGCACCATCTTCGTGGTGACGTCAGCGTCGCGTGACACCAGGGTCAGGTGCCGCGGCGCTCGCTTGGCGCGCCAGCCTCCTCAGCGCACCACTCTACGGGCTGGTGCCATTCAAGACAATTAGGCAAACATTAAGGTCACCTCAAAGTTTTCAAAGAGTACTTTGGGAATGTGCCGGAAAACATCTCTACAGTCCACAAAATAATCAACCGTACTCATATGACTAACACACTATAGTAGATATATGAAACTGCATTACAAGTACGGTGTTCAATATAAGAAAACAGAAAACAACATTGCTGAAAAAAGCAATGTAGATGTGAATGATACTCAGTAGGCTTCTACGAAGCAAGAGCTTTCAACCACCTTCTTGAAGAAATTCGCGAAAACTCTGCTTTGTTGGTTTTGAGTGAAAGATCATATTTTGTGACTGAAAAATTGAGAAAGATGCAAATAAAATAAGTAAAAAGTTTCCGGGTCCAAGTGAGAATCTAACCCAGGATATCTGTGGGGCAAGCAGGTGTTCTACCAAGAGCAACGAGATTTGCTTAAACAGCTTAGAAAAAAAAAACACTATAGGAATGTCATGTGAAAGGAGACTCCTTAGAGCATCATACATTGCTTGGCAAAAGTGTAGAATTGCACGAGGCATGAAGAAATGTGAACTGACGTATGAATAGAGGACTTAAAAGGCACACACATTTAATCCAACCAGCTTCAGAAATATAAACAAATCTAACAACTGTGTAGGTTTTTGCATTGCCTTACGAATGCATATCGGGGTCCCTTCCCTAATTTACAAAATAAATAATTTTGGCATAATGGGCACTGAACAAATGCGCTTGCAATAAGCATTCAATGATACTTCCCAAAGGCATATGTTACGCACACAGTCATTAGCTTTCTCACGGCACAGTGGAGGCACGCACTGAGAACTGAAGCAGGTCAGGTGTTCAGAAGACGACGCGCACCAGGCTCGACTAGGCTATCGCAACCTGCTCTAGAAAGCAAAGCATGAGCATCCTCTAATTTTTCTTTTTTTTTTTTCTCGCTTTCTATGCCTCTTTCTCTCTCTGAAGTCAGTCTCTCGTGTTTATCTTCACCTGTTTTTTCCCTTTTTATCTATTCGTTTTTCTATCTCTGTACTCATTCTCCTATCCTTCTTTCTTTTCTCCTTACCCATCCCTCCTTCTTACCCTCGCTTTTCTTTCCCGCCACCTTGCTGTACACTACTACACAAGGCTATGTCCTGCCAGCCAGCCTGGATCACCAAGTGGTTAGGGCGCTAACCTTCGAATTGTGGGTACGAGAGTTTGAATCTCACCTTGGCAAAAAAATTTCTTTCTTTACTTCTTTCTTTTTCCATTCGCTTTCTCTCCCATCAAGTTATTGCATCCTACGCCGGAAAAATTGCACATGTCTTCTGGTAGCAAAGCAGAAGAGGAAGAGGGGGAAAGGCAATGAAGGGAATGGCGAAAGTGGCTCGTGCCAGTTAATAGTGATAATTTTCTATTGACAATTCATGGCAAACCTTGACCTCAGCAGATGTCCTGTAAAAAAAAGTAGATTTAGGGGGCCTTTCTGCCTCACATAGATAAACATCATCTATCTCACATTCTTCCCGGCGTTAATGCTGCAGGTCCAGTATTTCCTGGTCACGAACTGACTGCAGCCATCAGCATGGCGTAACACTCAATAGGAAAGAAGCCAGGCCTCAGTTTTCACGAGAAAAATGCAAGCGAGCCAGATGACCATTATTGTTCTGGCTGAGGGACACCCCACATACACACTCTCTTTGCCTTAGAGTACACACACTCGTTGGCTTAGAGCATTGAAGTTCATCAGTGCCACTTGAACATGAAAAACAGACTTCAAGAACTTTTTTGTAATATAACAAATTACTTGGAGACAGTTTATTGTTTTCTATAACCTAATGCATTGAGCTCAGCAACTGCACAAAGCGTGAACATTGTCACAAGCACCTCTCTCTAAAACTACATGTGTACCACAGTTCTATGTAACGTAGTGTAAGAAAGCAGCTTGTGATTAAAGACCTTAGCTAGCATCAAATGTGCAACATTATAAATAAAGAAAGAACAGTGAAACAGAACTTCAGAACTCTTTGGCAACTAGGGACCGACAGGTTGCTGTGAAAGTCGCAAGGAGGAGCAACTTTGAACAGCCATCCACTTGAGAGACACAGGTCAAAGAAACATCATGATCAAACTTAAAACATAACCTTATAGACCGATCAGGGAAAAAATGCAATTATGGAAAAAAAAGATAAGCTAAATGTCATTCTAAAAAAAATCATTACAATAAAACCACCAAAGACCACATCTTAGGAGCTGACTCAAGCCACAAACATTAGAGCAAATGGGAGAGTTCTTAGATTACCTTAATACTTAGTATTTTTCATAATTCAAAAAAGAGTGTTATAGAAGACAGAATTGTTAGCACTGAGCTCAAAACACAACCTTAAAAATTAAAAGTTTTTTAAGCGTCATATTAGTGTCATCAGTAAAAAAAAAATAGTAAACTCATAGTGACATAGGTGTGCAAAGATGCAACTTTTAAATAAAGCATCATTTTTAATAATATCAATAAAATTCTTGAAAAAATACTTAAAACAAACAGTCCAGCTGTGAAGCATATCATGGACACACACTCATACGCACGCACCATAACACTGCCCAGATTCTCAACAAGATGCATGAGACCGGAAGTTGTCCAGTTCGACGCTAAGATTTAGTATCTTCCGTCCGAGAAATGCATTGTATCTCTTCAAGTAGCGAATCATGTCCGACTGCTTCTCCAAGACATCTTCAAAATATGTGTCGTCCCTGCAAGCAGGTGGGTTTTAATGTAGCGTAATAAATCAAGACTTGCATACAAGAGGTGTCGAAATGAAGAGGTACAAAAGGTAACGACATGACCTCTAAATACATGCCTATGCCGCTATGGGAGAATGTAGTAAGACATCAAAAGATGCGACTGGAGTCACTGTCATAGATCGGTGTACGAGGGGGCACCTGCACGCGCATGAGAGAGCAGAGGTTCTACAAAGAGCGCCGACAAATTGACACAGCAGTGTGTGGGATGGTGCACACACCGCAATGTTTAACCATTAAGAAGTAGTGACACATTATCTCATCTCTGACAGGAGAATATGTTTAAGCAGCCATCATTGATCATCCGCAATTTTCGTGTACAGTCCTCTGAAAAAGACTTGAAAAAGAGGTGCTTCAACTCGGATGACAAACTTGGGGACGCTGTGAGGAACTGTGTCTCATCACGGCCACAGGTATTATGGGAACAAGAAGTCCTCCCATTCATTCATCACTGAAATCTTAGTGATCAGACACATAGTGTATGCTTTGAATAATGTCTTCATTTGTAAGCACAGTTTCATTTTGTACCTTTTCATTTCAACACACCTTGTACAAACAAACACTGCAGTCAAGGTGGAATGCACTTACATACCCGTACACAAAGACAGGCACACACCCAGAGTAGATGTAAACTAAAATTAAAGCTCACTGCACGCTAATCGAAAACAGTGGTTAGAGCTATTCTTCAGGTAAGGAGCAAAGTGTTCTATCACATCACTGTCGAGTGCTTCTGCAAAGTTATATTGTGAGGACATATTATTTTTGCTAGCATTAAAGCCTGTTATATGCACATTAAAATATTTATTGTAAAACAACATTAGTTCAAACTCAATGGCACTATTGAGATTTTTCATTAGGCACACTTTAAATTATCAGGCAAGTGCTAGAATGAATGGACATCGCACCACACAGTGCGGACAAAACCCAAAAAAGCCAGCTTTGAACTTGTTATTGTAAATTAAGTGATGATATATATATACATGCTTGTGGCAAGCGATTTTGTAACTTCAGTTCAAGAAGCTGTAACAGTGAACAGAATTAATTTATTGATCAGTGACACACCAGAAACAAGCACCGACATGCGTTCATGTGAGCAGTTAGCCTTAAAAGGCACACTTAAGACCAACAACAATTTATGTCAGAGTGAAAGATCAATGTTTGAGAACATCTCAAATGTCAATACTATCAACAGCAGTTCTTACTGATTGAGAAATTCAGGCAAATTTACGACACTATATGCGCCACAAATGGCATGCCTTGAAATGATCCCAATGACATCAAGAGTCAAGAATACAACTAATCAGTATTAATCAAACCAGTTTCAATGAAAAAGGGCTTTCCGTGCACTCCAACAAGTAATAAAATGGTGCTTGTCCGTTTCTCTTTGATTCACGGAAACAAAAACCGCTTGGCATTACCATAGGAAATGGCGCGAGTAGTTCAAAAGTTTCATTGTCACTTGGCTCGGCTGGATAGGTGATGCCACCTAGCGGGACCCAGTTGCACTAGGCAAGCACTTATTCCAGAAACATCATGCATTCTACTTCTGGTGCGAATGCCTTGCAGCGGCGTAATTACGAATGAGTTGCCCGTTTCATAATTTTTCCCCTGAAAACGCTAGGCAAATACAAATGTCTCCACGACTGTGGTTGCACAAATTGTCACAGGATGTCAGCATCATTGCACGGTAACCCTGCAGTTGTACAACTTTTTACATATGCCAGAATACTGTGCATGCTTTCTCATGCTTTTGCCTCAGTAGTGATTCAATCTTATCTAAACTTGAATATAGTTTAGATGCAGTGATCATCGCCTTTAGTGGTTTGCATAAATCTAAAGGTGTACGTTTACATAAGTACGCATATGTTGACGTATGGAATGCTGAAGCTTGGCTAAAACTTTGCTAGAACGTGCATTCTGGTAACACAGTGAATGCGATCTGGTACTCTCGCGACACTGCAACGTTACAAAGTATACATGCAAGTTAAAAGCTGCTAATGGCATGAGATGCAGCAAGGAAATTGGCGTGACTTTTCACTGGGCGCCGAGCAATGAACCTCTATGCTGAATGTAGTTCAGTGCTTTACCTTTGCATTAGATTCACAAGCCAATGCCTCGTTGCCAGGTTCACTGATGACATTCATCGCAACAAGCCGGCAAGCTTCAAAGGCTGCTGCGACTCCCGCTACTTTCGCTCTTCTGCTACTAGTGTTTGCGGCTGCTGAGTAAAGGTGGGCAACATTTGGAAAGGCAACAGCTTCGCCAGGAGGTCAGTTTTTAGGTGGGTGATTTAAAGTGCACTACCGCCGTGCGGACCACTAAAACATGATTTTATTTCAAAATAAGAATCTTCTGGTCTGGACCGTTTCTGGACCGTTATTTCAGAAATCAATGTAGACTTAGTATTTCCATTTGGTGTCCCTTTAATGCTAAATATATTACAATATATGCTCAAAAACACACTTATTTACATACCAGAAGTAATGCAATCAAAATCAGTCACTTGCATTATCATCAGCCTGACTACACCCCCTGCAAGGCAAAGGTTTCTCCCATCCAATCTGCCATTCAACCCAGTCTTGTGCTTTCTGCTGCCATGTTATACCTGCAAACTTTTTAATCTAATGGATCCACCTAACTTTCTGCCTCCCCCTCGTGTGTTTGCTTTCTCTGGAAATCCAGTCAGTTAGCCTTGATGACCGGCAGCGGTTATCCTGCCTACAAGCTGTGTACTCGGCTTATGTCCATTTTTTTCTTCTTTATTCAAACTATAACCATCATCATCATCATCATCAACAGCCTGACTACGTTTACAAAAGGACAAAGGTCTCTCCCATGTTCCGCCAGTTAACTCGGTTCTGTGCTTGCTGCTGCCAATTTATACCCGCAAACTTCTTAATCTCTTCTGCCCACCTAACCTTCTGTCTCCCCCTAACCAGCTTGCCTTCTCTGGGAATTCAGACAGTTACCCTTAATAACCAGCGGTTATCCTGTCTACGCGCCACATGCCCGGCCCATGTCCATTTGCTCTTCTTTATTTCAGCTATGATATTCTTAACCCCCGTTTGTTCCCTAATCAACTCTGCTATCTTCTTGTCTTAAGGTTACACCTACTATTTTTCTTTCCATTGCCTGCTGCGTCGTCCGCAATTTAAGCTGAACCCTCTTTGTAAGTCTCCGGGTTTCTGCTCCGTAGCTAAGTTCTGGCAAGATGCAGCTGTTATATACCTTCCTCTTGAGAGTTAGTGGCAGATTACTATTCATGATTTGAGATTGCTTGCCGAATGTGATCCACCCCATCCTTATTCTCCTAGTTATTTCACTTTCTTGGGTCGGCTCCACGGTTACTACCTGTCCTGAACAGACATATTCCTTCACAACTTCCAGCATCTCTCCGCCTATCGCCAGGTGCTGTTTTCTGCGGAGACTGTTGCACATTACTTTAGTTTCCTGCATATTAATTTTTAGACCTACTTTTCTGCTTTCAGTGTCCAGTGCAGTAATCATGAGCTGTCATTCGTCCCCCGAGTTTGCAATGTCATCAGCAAATTACAGGTTACTAAGGTATTCTCCATTAACTCATATACCTAACTCTTCCTAATTTAGGGCCCTGAAAACCTCCTGTAAGCACGCAGTGAATAGCATTGGAGAGATCGTGTCTTCCAGCCTTACGCCCTTCTTTATAGGGATTCTGTTGATTTCTTTGTGGAGAACTATGGCGGCTGTGGATCCACTGTAGATTTCTTCTAGTATGTAAACGAAGGTTTCATCAATGCCCTTATTCGTATTGCCTGCATCACTGTTGATGTCTCGACTGAGTCAAATGCCTTCTCGTAATCTATGAAGGCTATGTATAGGAGTTGGTTGTATTGGGGTTGGTTGTACCTGATTGATAGTATATATATGGTCTATTGTGGAGTAGCCAGCACAAAATCCTGCTTGGTCCTTTGGAAGAAAACTCTAATGTCGCCCTAATTCTATTTGCTATTATTTTTGCAAATACTTTGTAGTCCGTTTGCATTTGCTCGTATTTCTTCCGTCACGACCCTATGAGCATCACTTGCATCTTTTCCCAAGAGCTCCAGCACAGTGTTCAAATTCTTATCTGTTTAGAAACGCTGCTGTTCTGCTGTTTTGCATGTCTAGTAAGTTTAACTTAGTTGTGCAACACATTTTGATCACTGTGGGCAGACTTCTGCGAAGAGCAATGAAAACTAGGTGACTTCGGTCTTCAATTCGAATTAACTGTTGTGCATACCGAGGCTTTCAAATAATCAGGAGTTACGCCCCCCCCCCCCCCCCCCAAGAAATGCAAGAGGCTCTGCTGGTTAAGGGTGTCAGTACAAATTCACTGCAATTTGTAATGCAATTGCCAATTTGCAACCAAGTTTCAAATAACAAGCTTTTATTGTAGTGCTATCAATCGGGAAAGGAACAAAATGTAGTACATATCGCATGATTGTGGATTTCTTCTGCAAAGCAATATTGTACATTTACCTTTTTCTAAGGTATTTTGAGACAAGTGCACCTACCACAATTCTGAAATTCGCCTTCTTTGAATGGCAAGTTCACATAAGCAAGTGATCTTATCGTCTTTTTTGTAACATATATATGCGTGTCGTAGTAGTAATAAATTTAGTTGAAAGTCTATGCTCGTCCTCATCTCTTGTGTTAGTTGTCGCAAGTTTTGCCCTGAGAAGTTTAATAAAGGATTTCTTCTTTTTCATGTAAAGATATCGATGTTTTGCTAATGCGGGACTCCCCTTCTTTTTTGATATAGAATGCTTCCACAAGGAGTTAGACAAGAAGAGCAGAAAGATGGGTCTTAAAATTAATCTGCAGAAAACGAAAGTAATGTACAACAACCCCGAAAGACAGCAGCGCATCGAGATAGGTAATAGTGCACTTCAAGTTGTAAAAGACTGTCTACTTAAGGCAGGTAATGACCGCGGAGACGAACCACGAGATTGTAGTAACTAGAAGAATAAGAATGGGGTGGAGCACATTTGGCAAGCAATCTCAAATCATGAATAGTAATCTGCCACTATCCCTCAAGGGGAAGGTATATAACAGCTGCATCTTGCAGGTACTTAACTATGGAGCAGAAACCTGGAGACTTACAAAGAAGGTTCAGCTTAAATTGAGGACGACGCAGCGAGCAATGAAAAGAAAAATGGTAGGTCTAACCTTAAGAGACAAGAAGAGAGCAGAGTGGATTAGGGAACAAACGGTGGTTAAGGATATCATAGTTGAAATCAAGAAGAGGAAATTAACATGGGCCGGGCATGTAGCGCGTAGACGGGATAACCGCTGGTCATTAAGGGTAACTAACTGGTTGATTGATTGATTGATTGATAAATGGGGTTTAACGTCCCAAAACCACCATATGATTATGAGAGACGCCGTAGTGGAGGGCTCCGGAAATTTCGACCACCTAGGGTTTTTTAACGTGCGCCAAATCGGAGCACACGGGCCTACAACATTTCCACCTCCATCGGAAATGCAGTTGCCGCAGCCGGGATTCAAAAGGGTAACTAACTGGATTCCCTGAGAAGGCAAGCGGGTTAGGGGGAGACGCAAGGTTAGGTGGGCAGATGAGATTAAGAAGTTTGCGGGTGTAAATTGGCAGCAGTAAGCACAGGACCGAGTTGACTGGCGGAACATGGGAGAGGCCTTCGTCCTGCAGTAGACGGGGAGGAAGTAAATAAAGTAATTTGACCATCTTACCGAAAACCCAGGTCACCAACAGATGTCTGGGAATGCATGAAGCTGAGGAGAAGCTCGTCATGAAGAGAATCTAGCTTGTACTTGTTCTTGTGGAAGTTCAGTGTCATCACTGCAAAGAAATTTGAAGAAAACTTATACCAAAACCATTTAAAAAAACACAAAGCATCGCATTGATCAGTTTAATTTAATGTGGAACATTAAAAAACAAAGTTGAACAGCTTTTGTGTTTCATCATGCAAACACTAACTCTGTGCACAAATTCTGCTGTAGTACAAACACTAGCTATCTCTAAATTAATCACAGCAGCAGACACACCTCACACACCAGACACACCTAACGTAGGCAATAAGAAATCCAGTGTCTAGTTCAATATTCAGCAGTGGCTGATTATTGAAAGCCACTGCATCGGTATTCATTCTTTTCAGTTTTAACAGTATTTCGGTAGAGCAACCGCTCGTGTTTATATTCTTCATCTTTGAAGTGCGCCACGTAAAGCACCATGCTCTTCAGTACCTCCCATTCTCTTCATCTCACTCCGATAACATGCAGCTTTTGGAGCGTCACCTTTTTCGGAAAAGCGTGAAAGCTAGTCCCGGCCATAACATATGTTAAAGCAGCCTCTGAACAGCGCAACAACGCTGTTGGGAGGCTGCTGAGTTAGTTCGTATGAATTATCCGCTGGTAAGGGGGCGTCACGCAGAAAAGGAACGGATACGGCTGAAGGGAGTTCTACTTCCAGGGGTGGTGAGCTACAACTGACGCCATTTCCGTTTCTGTCCGATTTGCCCGGGCACACCTCTAGAGCTCCGCGTCGTCTGCTAGCTGACAATTGGACCACCGATTACAAATGAAATACGTGATTGCAAGCTTTTTCACAGTCATTCCATTGCTTACCCAACATTACTACGCATTCAGAGCCAACTCTGTCCAAGTCAAATTTTGTTGCAGTTGTCCTTTAATGCTGATTATGATTATTATGCTCAAGCATTGTGTAATGAACGGGATTTTAATCGACCACTCGTTACGCAATTCACATGGTGTGACACCTGGTGCAATTCCACGTTTCTGCCATGTACCGTTACACCTTTTCACACTGCACTAAAATCTCAATACAAAGAACCTCAAGAGAACACTTAAATCATTAGTTATTCTGAAATATCATCGTAGCGAAAATGTTAACAATTTCCACAAAAATCAGATGTGCAACTATTTGAGCGGCCTACCTGCACTGGGCTTTGTGTTATGCTCTAATAAGCATGAAAAAACAAACACGAAACATTATGAAACAAGTGCATGTTCACTTGAAAGATTTTAATGTTTGCCTGATGGGTGAAACTTGATTGCTGCAAGACAAAATTTTAATAGTGCACATCCGTGTAACACACAGGCATTAGATACAGATTCTTTGAGTTGGTTCACGTGCGCTGTTTCAATGTCGTCTTCACTTTTGTTGCCCTCGTCGCAGTAGCTTTATCATGACAAATGATCTGGATCTTATTGCTTATCAGTTAAGCTAATGTGCATACAGTAAAATCTCGTTGATTCGACCCCCGTTAATTCAGAATTTCAGGTAATTCGGCCACAGCATCTGGTCTCGTCCAAAATGTACATTGCTCTATGACTGAAAACTCTCATTAATTTGGACAAAGTCGGCTGCGCTTCACTTAATTCGAACGCCCGATCACAGTCGAGTCACGACGGGGAAGAAGCAGCGAATTCTGCCGGCCAAATCGACGGCGCACCTAAACTACTTTGGGATCGGACTGCGGCCTCTGAGATTCAAAACTTCATCTATGGGTAGTACATCTGGGAGGCACAAAAAAAACAAAAAAACACACACACAAGGTGTTTTAAACAACCAAAATGGAAGGCAGTGCATCGCTACTGTCATCAGCAACGGGCAACCCACGGATTTGCCTTTTCTTTTTTCTTGCGCGTTGAACACATTTGCCTGACGGTTGAGTTTGATTGCTCACCTCTAGTGTGCTTTAAATTATTTATTTGTACGTAATCAGTGCCATCTGCAGTCTTACTGTTTGCTGTTTTTTGAAAAGTTCGCTGGTTTTTATTTCTTTTTTATCGCAGTGCGTTTTTTGTGTGTGTGTGTGTTTGTGTTGTCTACTTCGTGCGCGCGCACGTGACCACCGCGCGAGCACGCCGAGATGGCTTCCCCTTCGACTCCTGCGGCCCCAACCACCCCAACCACCCAACTCTCGCAGCGAAGAGAGCGAAGTACGAAGCAAAAGATTTCGCTGCGAAGGTGAAAATATTGAAGGGGTTACAAGTGGGAGCATCTCGAAAAGAAGTGATGGAAAAGTTCGATGTGAAGAAAAGCACGCTGAGCACTTACGTGAAGAACAAAGAGCAGATTATACAAGAGTATGATGGGGACATGTGTGGTAACCAAAGGAAGAAGCTTCGAACGGCAGGGCATCCCAAGCTAGAAGAAGCACTGTTGCGCTGAATTGAGTTTCGCGCGCTGCGCGTTTGCCCTTGAGTGGCCCCCTTATCTGCGCACAAGCATAGAAGTTCACGGTGACCATTAATATTGACTCCTTCAATGCGTCGGAAGGCTGGTTCAACTGCTTCAAGAACCGACATGAGCTGGTGTTCCGTAACGTGTGTGGTGAAAGAGGTGCAGCTGACGAAAGTGTTGTGCACGACTGGTTGTCTGACTATCTGCGCGCCTTTCTACTTACAAGCCGTACAACATTTTCAACGCTGATGAGACAGCACTGTTATATAAGGCTCTGCCTGACAAGACAATCGCCTTTAAGGGGGACCCGTGCGTTGGTGCACAACGAAGTAAAGAGCACATGACAGTTCTTCTGGCTGCTAACATGACCGGCACAGGGCGGCTGCCACTGCTGGCGATCGGGAAGGCTGTGAAGCGAAGATGTTTTAAAAATATTAAGCAGCTGCCTGTCAACTACCAGTTCAACAGAAAGGCTTGGATGACTGCCAAACTCTTTCAAGCCTGGCTGCGTCAGCTCGACCACCGCTTTGCGACCAAGGCTTGGAAGGTGTTGTTCGTGCTAGACAACTGTTGTGCGCACATGAAAGTGTCCAGGCTCGAGAACATTAAACTGCTATTCCTGCCTCCGAACACAACGGCTTCCTTGCAGCCGATGGACCATCATACAGTTCGTGAAAAGCCGCTATCGACGGCAGGTACTCGGGCGGATGTTGCTCTGCATGTAGTCAGGCAAGCAGTACGAAGTAGGCCTGCTAAGCGCTATTCACATGCTGACATACGTGTGGAACAACACACCGCCTGCAGTAGTCGCAAACTGCTTTAGGCATAGCGGCTTCGTGCGCGACGCTGCTGATCCGGGTGTGGTGGCCTATGAATAAACCAGCGAAGAGCAAGACGGCCGCTATGTGAGCATTATGCCAGCTGATGTGCCCCTGAGCGATTACTTCACAATTGACAGCGATGTTACCGTGGCCGGCAACAGTGATCGTCGCAGAAGTCTTGGACAACGAAGGGGAATCGGCTCATGAGGACTTAAGTGATGCTGACGAGCGTCCACGCCCCACAATGACGGAGGCTGCGCATGCATTGGCCGTTTTGGAGGACATATGCATGCTTTCCTCGGACGGTGTGTGCGGACTAAGCCACCTGCAGGAACTTCGCAAAATTGTGACTTCGTCGCACATTGTGTCCGTGAAGCAAATCGCGATCACAGACTTTTTTAAAGAAATAAATGTCTGATGGTGTAGGAGACATTTTTCAAGTGTTTTGTTTGTACTCGCGATAATTCGTACCCTCGATAAATTCGGACATTCTCTTCGATCCCGTGAAGTCCGAATTAATGGGGTTTTACTGTGCTTCATTTTTGAACTGCGCGTAGTGTTCGAAGGCAAGGATGCACAAGTAATCATCGGTGACTTCATTCTACAGTACCTCGCGTCGCATTTTTTTCGCTGTCATTGCATTCCTTTCATGGTGCTTCTAAAGCTTTTTGAGAACATACAACCACCAATCCAAAGGCAGAAAAGCAGCCTAGTAGCAAGCATGCAGGCATTCTAACACTCAAAGTTTGGACGCGCCCATTTATTCTGACACATTTGCAGCACCAACGCTCGTTCCATTGACTCACGGCCAAGCATTCGGATGCTGCGCTGTGCACTGCTCGATTTTTGCGGACTACGTCCGCTGGCTGGCTGATCAAGTGCGGTGTCAAATGGCTGAAATTGCCACCCTCAAAGGCTATGTGTTTCAGCTACAATTAAGAGCCGTGTTTCGGCTTTAGCCAGCCGAGTATCCATTGAATGGCTATCATGAATGAGTGGAATGTCATGGTCATTAGTGTCGTCAACCTCAAACATAATGCCATAGTGACAGCGACGATGACGGCTTTAAGATGCCTACAATGTTATGCAACAGTGGTACACAAAAGCTGTTCTGTATTGATGTTGCACTGTCTGTTGGCCTGTTCCCATTAGAAAATGAACGGGTGTAAACACTTAATGCTTTATCTGGTTATTCACTCATCACATGAAGTGTACATACCATTTGCCTACTACAGATCTCTTCAAATCTCTTATCACCCTTGTGAAATCTCTGCCTTTATGAATTTTAGTCTCCACGGGTTTATTACGTAAAGTCTTCCACTTTATGCTTGAATAGTGTATCAGACCCATCAAGATTTTTTTTGTGGTGTAGGGCAGAATATGCACAAGGCAGCCTTACCAAGATACTTCACCAGGAAAGGCAAGGCCAGAAGTGTCTCAAGAGTGACGAGAATCTGAACGTAGTGGACAGGCTTCAGAGGAGAGCCTGGACAGGCACCCCGGTCATGGCAGTAGTTGTCAACAAGCACGGACAATAGAAGGAGCATTGTGCTTCCTGAAATAAGAAAAAAGCAGCAGCACACCCTATTTGTAAGGACTGCTTTCAAATATCAGGCCCACTTACATAATGAATCACGGCTCCAAATAATCGTGGTTGAGAAACATAGGTTATGAGGCTTAATATCCCGAAACTGCACAGCGAGTCAGAAGAGGCACTATACTACAGTGCTCTGCATTAACCTTGACGGTCTCGGGTCAACTCTGACATTTTGTACCAGATTTAAAATAAAACTGCACACAGTGCACACAATTCCATGGCAATCATTTCTGATTAACGTGATGTCTCGAGGCACCACAGCGAAGCTAAAAACATTTCTACAGGGAAAGATGTTATGAAATCACAACAAAGGCCAATTTCGGTGCTTTAGTTGTCCGCTGCTAGTGCCGGTGTCCATTGCCACGATACCATTAAATAAGGGGGAGAACTAAATAAAAAAAAATACCAAGTATAGAATGGGATTCAAGCTCGAGTACCCTGCGTGGCAGCCCAGCAATCTACTACTGAACTAGGCATGTGTTTGAAACTCTGTTGTAAACTGGCCCTATGTAGACTTCATGTAGGGTAAGGAATCGCATTACCATGTGTAATAGAGCATTTTAGAACAGTAAAGCAACAATTAGGCATCACACAATGATAATCGCATAGTGAGTGTATCGTTGAATGCTCCGACACATAACAAAAGCCTCAGTATAATTCATCGTCAAAAATGGCATCAACAAAGTGCACATAAGGCCTGAGAAGTGCTTAGCGGGTACCATGCTTCTTTGAAAAATTGTGAATAATGGCGCAGTGAGAACTTCCCCCCTACATAAAAATTATAATGATTTATGGCATAATGGGTACCATGCAGGTAATTTTGTGGTAGTTGCCCAAAGAGTGTTTAAATTGGCTCTAGGAAGGCTGATGTTCCAATTTTTACTGTGTCTGTGTTGCGCGTTCCGCGCAGGCCTAGAGTTTTTTTTGTTGTTTTTTTTGTTCTCAATGCAAGCAGAGTTCTGCACCCTTGCAGTCTCATTTTCCTGTAGTGTCATGGCAGTGGGTTTATACAGCTGTCATAATTTCAACTGACAAAGGGAAAAAAACACTGCAATGACATAAGTTGCTTGTTCTCAGATGGGAGCAGGCTGTCATGATTCCGCGTAACGCCAGTGCCAAATCTATAGCTCAAACAATAAAAACATGCCTGGTGGCTGGTTTGAACATATATCTTGGGTTTTATGCCCCTAAACTACGATATAATTATGAGAGACGCTGTACTGAAGGGTTCCTGAAATTTCGATCATCTGGTGTTCTTTAATGCGCACTAACATCACATGGTACACAGGCCTCTACCACTCTCTCTCAACCAAAATGCTGGTGGCTGAACTTGAAAAATGCAAGCCATAAAGAAAAAACATCGCATGCCCTAGAATAAAAAGCATTAGGTTAGTGCATCAAAGTTTTTGTTGCACCTTGCAGAGAAGCTGCAAAAAGGCAAATGAGGCATGTTAGGATTGATGGAGGCTATCTCTACATAATGCACATAGCTAGGGCCAACAGTGATTCCAGAAAACATAAGGTTGCCCAACAAATAATGTTCCTCTACAAATGCCCTGTTCACGAACTAAGGTTTATTAGCAGTTTGACCATAGTACGTAGATGTCTTGGCTATGGTGCTCAATGACTATACGTAGATGTCTTGGCTATGGTGCTCAATGACTATACGTTGATGTCTTGGCTATGGTGCTCAAGCATGTCTGTGGGTAATGTCCTTCAATGTAGCTTTTTTTCAAATGGCAAATTTCAAGCTCAGAAGCCACATAGGCCAGCAGCATCAATTGATTTGAACAACACCTACCATACTTTCACGCTTGCAGAAGAAAGTGGTAGCCACCACGAACCTGATACGAAGAATCACGAATAAGAGGAAAGGGATGAAAGAGCACAATGTAGTGAGATTAATACATGCATATGCTTTAAGCCACATCAGGTACGTTGCTGCTTATGTCAATTGAAGTACAAGCGAAAGCAACAAGCTGGACACGATCATCTGCAGGGCTTACAAAACTCCATCAGGCATACCTCACTACACTGCCAACTGCAGGCTCTTTGAGCTGGGCGTGCACAACACACTCGCCAAAATCATCAAGGCTCAGTGGATTGCGCAGCTCGAAAGACTGTCGGGCACCAATACCGGAAGAACCATACTCGACTCCCTCGAGAGTCGTTACTGCGGGATGCGGGGACTGAAGGACGCGCTATTGCCAGCGGTCAAGAATGCTATACTCACAGAGAATATGCCCAGAAACATGCACCCAGTGCACGATGCCGAAAGGCGCAGATGCAGAGCGGAGGCGATCCTCAAAGAGCACGGCAGCCGAGAGGGTGTCCTTTTTGTCGTCTCTGCTAGATACCCCCGGCCCGACCGAGGACGACAGCAGAACGAACGAGAGCCACAACAACATCAATCGACACCTGCCTTCTCCATGGCGGTGGTCGACACGAGGGAACGAACTCTGGTGACGGGATCTGCAAAGCTCCCATCGTCTGATGCGGCAGAAGAAATGGCCATAGCCCTCGCAATCATTCTTAGTGGAAACGAGGACACTTTTATCATGAGTGACGCCAAGACGGCGGTCCGAAACTTTACGAAGGGATGGGTATCCATCGAGGTGGCGCACATGCTAAACGCCAGAGCCGGAGATTTCAAGTCTGGTGCGATTGCTGCCAAGTGGTTCCCCGTGCACGTGGGAGAGCTTGGCAGCAACCAAAGATCTGACCTCCCGTCGAACCACAACGAGCGCGCCCACTTCGTCGCGAGACTGCTAACCTGCCACGACGCAGGTGAAAGGGCCGCCGATGTGCGACACATTGACGATTGCTAGGCACCTGAGGTCGGAGGACATAATACCTCTACGACGACGATAATACACCCCGAGGCCTTACAGAACTGCAAGGACATCATGATTACCTTCCACGAGATCCTAAACCATTACAGAAAAACGCGACGACGTTACCCACCACCCCACATGCAGCTGGAATTTGCATAAGTTTTCTTTGTTTCCTTGAGCAATTTATTATTGGAATATGTTACCTTAAGAGACAGCCAACTCTGTGTAATTAGAGGTGTTTTCTCAGCGTATTTGTCATAAAAGCTTTGGTTAAAGTGTCGTTTAAAAATTGGAAGACTTTATCATTGTGTTCTTTTACCGTATGCATACCGTATCGTATGCTTACAGGCGATTGTGTAAGCAAATTTATGCCTCCCCTTATGTGTGTTGTACGTTTTTAAATTACGTCAAGCAACACTGATGTATTGTCAAGTTGTATGTCGTATTTCTGCCAATGTATTTCATTGTTTTCACTCCTGCATGGGCCCGCAAAGGGCCTGCAGTATCTGTAAATAAAAAAAAGAAAGGTCTCAGGCGTCTGATCTGCGGCGTCTGCAGATCGACACATTTGAGAATCTCCGACACCTGCATAGACTGTGTCCCTCGCTGCACCCGTCACCCGGCTGTCCGTGGTGCGGGCACGAGACAGCCGACATGGCGCATATACTTTGGGAGTGTGAATGCAGTGTTCGCCGCCACTACTCGGACGAGCGCGAGTGTACCTCAGGACGACTGGCTGAGCGGTGGCGAGCCGCCCTTCTCAGCCCACGTGCAGTGGACCAAATCTGGGCTGACCAGCAAGCCAGGGCTATCGCCGAAGACATTGCACGATGCTCAGCGGACGACAGCTTCTGGAGGCCTAGCCCGGGCCAGTAATTCCTCGTTGGATCCTAATAAAGTTTATTACCTACCTACCTATCTACCTACCTTTTACGCTCCACACTGCTGTTGCCATGAGTTTGTTTTATAGGTAGATAAAAGTTCCACATATACAAATTTAATTACGTATCATGAGCCCCCAGTCATGTAGGGAAGTCATGTAGCTACTAATGCTACAGCAGCTCTGGAATAGATCAAGGGTGTAGCAATGCAGGAAAACTGTTGTTATTCAAACAAGATTCAACAATACCGAAATTAACAAAATGGTGTTGCATGTAAGGAGAGAGTTGCCAGAACAAAAGTGCCAGGCTCTATTTATTTCCCCTACTTGAGATATACAAACAGCAAAAAAACAATTCAGTTCAACAAAATTTTTAAATTTCGCGTACTAAAACCACGACATGGTTGCGAGCCACACATAGCAGAGGACTACATATCGTTTTGAACAACCTGGCAATTTTTAATACGCAACTAAATCTTATCGCATGAGCATTCTTGCATTCTGCACACCTCATAACACTACAGCTGTGGTCAGCTATCAAATGCATTCTCGATCAGCAATGCAGATGGATAACCAAGAATACTATTGCTGACTAATATTCAATGGTTGCTTCCCAAATTCTTTCTGTTACCATTCAAATGAATGGTACTACACATCATCAAAAACTCTGTTACAGGATTTTTAAAGCATCTACAAGTGCAGCACTAATGAGAGACCACCATATAGGAAAACACAGCTCGAGGTGGTTGGTTCACAATAAAGCAATAACAGCGTGCCTCTGATGATGACAGACAGTGTGCACCTGACAAGGACACACAAAAGAAACTCAGGCTTTGTGCGTTCTTGATGAGGACTTGTCCTCATCAAGAGCACATCTTTCTACCCTTGTCCTGACACACCTGAGAGGGATGGACAGAAGGAACACAGGGCACAGTGAAGGGCACAGGTGCTGTGGCCTCTGTTCCTTCTGTCCATCCCTCTCAGGTGTGTCAGGACAAGGATAGAAAGAAGATGTGCTCTTGATGAGGACAAGACCTCTTCAAGAACGCATCACACGGAACATGTGTTCCTTCTGTCCGTCCTCGTCAGGTGCACATTGTTTTTGCACCGTATGAGCCATGAACGAACTTTATGCGTACATACCTGCTGACACAATGTACACGTTGGCTCGGCGAAGGCGCCTGGTGAGCTGGTAGAAATAGATGTACCCACTACAGTGTAGAATATTATGCTGGTGGCGCAAGTAGCAGTCTATCAGCATCATGACTGCCCAGAGGCAGACGTGCGCATACAAGATGACCGAGTAGGCATCGGTGGGAGAACGGCTACTTTCACTGGATACAAGAGGCAAAAAGAAGCTCAACGCAGCCACAGCCACCTGAACGGAAAGAAAAGCAAAATTACGCATTAGCGAAAACAATCCCTCCTACGTGAAATCACTACAATACACAAGTTTTTCAAAAATGAGGACTGACCTGTTTTAATTCTGCCTTCAATAAACATTTATTTGTGTGGTTTTCTGGGCAGTCTATGTTGACTGGCACATAGGGAGGCAATGTGTGAGTTTGGGCTCACACAGCTTATGGTAACAAATATACAATATGATCGAAAAACAAGAAAAAAAAAAGATCAATGCTAACCTCGTGTTGTGTTTGTTGTAAACTAAAATTGATTGTCGGGGTTTTATGAGCCATTACAAGAAATTGATTTCCATTACCTCTAACGAGGACTCCCAATGAATTTTAACTGCATACAGCATCACAGTACAATGACACGAGTGGAGAACATTCGATGGCAGCATACCTTTTTATTCCTTAACATTGCGTACACCTAAATATAAGCACACATAGGGCAGACTGGATAATACACCTGTCACATGTGGCAACTTTAGTGCACTTTAAGCGAGCGTACTTCACCGCGAGTTTAATCTGCATGCTGTCACACGAGAAAGTTTAGTGTTACTCGCTCCAAAGTACACTTGTCAGCAAGTGCGTTTGCCAACCTCGCTTCACTGCGATAGAGTGTGTAGCGTCGACATAAATGGCTTGCACATAAATACACTATTGTATGAAGTAGCGCTCGTGGTATTTTTGAACCATTGCTTTCATTATTAGGAATATTGTTATGTACTAAAACAAGTCATATTACAACAAGAAACCTGGCTACTCTCAGGCTCAGGCAGTTTGCGGCAACGTCTGCTAGGGTGACGTGGCCGCACATGCCGTGCAGTAGCTGCCCACGTCACATTGCATTTGCAGACGTGTAGGCGAGTCGCTCTTTTGTCATTTTCGATGGCGAGTGTCAATGGTGCTACTTCCACAAAGACAATGTGGTCCGACCATTGAGACACTGACGGGAAAATAACAAATATATCTTGCGCTACTAATCTGCCAATTGACACTACCGTTATTTCTCCATATACACTTCGCTTTCGCATATAACGGCGCACTGCCAAAGTGACGCTTTGTGTGTGTAAGTACACTCGCTCAAAGTGCATTTAAGTTGCCACGTGTGACAGGGGCATAACAGTGAAGACAAGAAAAGTTGAAAAAGTGCAAGTTTTCTCATCACAATGAAATGCAAGAGTGCAACACAGAAAAGCACCAAATTTTAAGCTAGCCAAATTTTCAAGTATGTGCTTAGTTAACAAGCACAAAAAAATGTACCAACAGAAGCTTCATTAAAAAAAATGCAACAGTAAATGCAGCCCCTATATAAAATTGGTCATGTTCAATGTCATAGTAGTATTACTGACTTCACTAACCAGTGTTTCACAATATCAAATGAGCCTCTTTGTACATGAAAAGGTAAAAAAATTACCAATATAGTTATCAATGAGCTCTGAATTTCTGAAGCACCAGTTAGTAGCAGTAAGATCTTAGCACCTTCTCACCGAACAAACCACCTCCATGCATTAGTAAAAAAAATCATAGTATACACAATATTAAGCAGAATGCACAACGGCTTCAGGCACACAAGACATGCAGGGGCAGGTGTCAGACCACACTTACGAGACTCAGACCTTGAAAAGCGATAGCCGCCGAGCTTGTAACAATCCTGAAAGGTGGCTCAAGTTCAGGTGCCGAGACCGGGTTCACAAGGGGTGTTGCATCCTTGTACATGAAGTTCACACTGTCCGCCACGGAGGCCTGCAAAACGGACAATCTATTCTGCTGACTGACAGTGAATCAAACGCAGACATGTAGCGGTAACACGACCCTCGATCCTGTGAATGGCTCTGACAGCTTTATACACAACTGGTGTGTACAACAATCGTAGTGTCGGAAAAAAAGCACGAATTGTTACGCTGTATTTAAGCGACGAAAAAGGAAACACCGTTTCGCTGTGCGTACGAAAAGAACGATGTTTGATTCGAGTCATTCGCAAAACAAAACGGCGCACAGCTGGCGAGACACTGCTTGTAAATCGACCAGTCTTAGATTGCTCGAACACACTGTATGATAAATCAATGGCGTCCACTTCAAGGACTAATAAATCATGTGTTGTTGCACATGTTATACAATACTGTCCCATGCACGCGAGTCTAACGGGAATACGCGACGCTCGAGTAGTACGGTAAACAACAAACAGTTCCGTAAATACCCAGTCCATTTACTTAGACCATGTAGCACGTGCATCTTCGTAAAAACACGGCGAAAACCCGTTATCTAACTGCCAGTTTAAAGCGCAGCTTGCAAAGAAAACAATCGAGCGGCCTACCGTGATGTCTTCACGCTGCATCAAGTATTCCCATACTCCCTTCATACTCAAAGTGCATCCGCTACGTCACTACGTTCAATTTCAGCAAGCCCCTGGCTCTACTCCTAGCGATATCGTGTTCAATCAAAGCAGTCTCTGCAAGCGACTGATGTGCCAGAATCGAACTGCGACCGAACTCAGCTATGCAGGCGTAGCGATAACATTGTAATGCGATCAGCGGCACACTGCGGAGCATCTGCTTTCCCGCGCGGATGATACGACGGTCAGTCGAACGATGACCCGTTGTGCGCTTCAAACTGGCAAACAGATAGCACCAGTTAAACAATGAAAAATGTGGCGTTGTATCGTTACTTTGCAAGTGTCAGTGAACGGCCCGTGTTACTTGAGAGGCAGTAAAATACGCCGCGCCACTTCGCGGTTCAATTTTTTCAGCATCACTAACTGCTAGAGCCAGGGTCGACAGCGACGGGCCGTCGATACTACCATGATCATTTTCTGAAATCAATGACCGCTATGTCCGGCAACGGACTCACGTAACAGCAGATAAAACCTCAGCAAACATTCGATCGTCGTCAAATAAGACAGGCGAGGAGCTTGAGAAAAAAAATAATTATATTGTTATATTGCGGTCACTATTTACATATGTGCGCTATCATTCCTACTGACATGCACAAGTAGGAGATTTGGCAATTGCGGACTAGAGCAAAAATAGCATGCCACTGCGTGAGTCAACGAGAAAACCGGAACGTATACCTACCTCAAACGTCTCGTGATCTGCCAAGCTGACCATGACTTTTTGGCTTGTTATTGCGCAAGCAACATCGAAATCTAAGCGATGACATGCGTCAGATGGAGCATCGAGATCTTTAAACACTGTGGTGTTTTTAACTCAGCTGTGTTTACAAAACGCCTCTCCATGATTGAAGAGGGAGCGGCGGTGGAGTGGCTTGATCAGCGGTGGCTGACGGCGGCTAGTACAGTGTTGCCACCCTGAAATCTTGTTCAGCCTGGAACTTTCCCGGCTAAATACCAAGCCACACGCAATACTTAAATAACTGCTCATGTACATGGCTCCCGAGATTACGACATTTTAATCTCAAAGGTCATGTTTTTAGCAAACCCGCTTTGACACGAGCTGAAAATTGTGGGACTGGGAGAAGCTCTCAAAGGCAATTTATCATGTCCGAAGCGATGGTAAACTGGACACCTTACAACTAGTTGATGAAATACGCACATACAATCTGGCCTTCAACTTCTTGCAAGCTCGCCTCCGTGATTCTGCCTGCTATTACTCTGGTCCTGCCATAGAGTTTCATACAATAATACTTATCGTATGAAACTCTATGGGCCCTGAAACTGCTGCCGGCGCATCAAATTTAGCGTAGTCACGTCTGAGGTGTCCCACCGCAATTCAACGTCGCCAGCAAGCCGTATGAGTCAGTAAGCCAGAGCTTATCTGTAAGTGACTTCTCGCTGTTTGTCACGGCGCATGCCGCATATTTTTACAAATGTTTCACGCACTCGAAAAGCGACGACTTAGACAAGGCGCAAACTTCAGATACAAGTACGTGTAGTGTGTTCCTGAGGGCATCGAAGACGGAAGACGCTGGACTTTTCTTCTTAGACATGCTAGCCGCATGTTCTGCCACTTGTAGCTACTTGGAGCATTTTGAAGGTAAGTGCGGTTATTCGCTTACCGCATGCGTATTTGTTCGAATAACTATGCCAGAAAAACGAAAATACTCATCTTAGTAATTGGTGTCAAGCACGCAGGGCCTGGGAATCGGTGCGATTTTATAAATGTGCAAAGGTGGAAACAATATGAGATGAACGAAGCCCTTCGTTTTTCTAGATAACTTTCCTGCCTTCCATCTTTCTGTTTCTTGCTAAAGCACGCCGAAATAACATTCACCCTTGTGCGATAGCGCAGAAGGGGTATGGTATTCCACGGCCGCTGGATCAAAGCGCACAGGTGTGCGCTTTGATCCAGCGGCCGTGGGTATTCTTAGTACAGTAGTGCCCAAATACATAGTGAGTGACTCATGGATCCCACCCCCACCCCTTCCCACGAAAGCCAATGCTAATCGCATTCCTGGATAGCAATTAACGGTTTGTGCTCCGTAATAGACAGTACTGGGTAACAGCGCAAGGAGGTATTTACCCGAGTGAGCTGAACGAAACCGCTATGTTGCGTTAAGGAAAAAATAAATAAAAACTTTTGAAAGCCTGATGTTCCTAATAAGTTATTGGCCGCAATCCTTCAGAATCACCCTGTCTCTGGCCGTAACTCAATCTGTTCTGCATTGAATGCATGAAGGTGCACTGCATTTATGCTTCATTTGTTTATTTGCAACCTAGCAATGGCTTCAAAACAAGAAATGAAGAAAAACAACGTAATCCAAGTTGTATGCATTTTATGCAGAATATAATGTACTGTTCAATAAAAAATAACTGGTCATATTACAGCTTCTGCTCTATTTGGTTGCAAGTTAGACGACAAAATTAAACGTAATGGCTACTTTTAGCTCTAACTCTTTTTCCAGTCCATCCAATGGCGTTCGTACAAAACCATCGTCCCCAAGAAGCATGCACTAAGGTGCCTTCGCTGTCTTGTGGGATCGATGAGTGATGGGTGCATGGACGGCGGCTGGAGTGTGGAAAAGGAGTGGGCTTGCCACACCTACCACTAGCCACGCCAGCACTTACCCATCTAAGCTACGCCATCTCTGATGAAACGCGGGGTCTTCACCCCACAAATCCTGCCGGGTGGGAACAATGACCCGCAGCACAGCCCTGCACGTAAAGTGGCCGATCATCCAGTTGTGGCAGCACGTTAGAAAGTTTCTTTCCTTCCAGCGCAAACCGTTGACATTGGCATAGCAAATGGTCGACGTCTTTGGCACCGCAGGCATCGCATGGCGCACTGTCGGTCAGTCAATTAAAGTGGCCCTGCGACACTTTTTCGAAATTATCATCGAATGATTTCATTAACGAAGTTTATTGTCTCGTGAAGTTTGTCGCACGCACTAAGCGCTTTCTTTCTCCTTCTGTACCCTGCAGGTAGCGCGCATGCTAGCTGGTACGGAAGTAGAGAGAGAAAGCACTTGTGCATCACCCCTGCTATAGCCCGCTGTAGAGGGTAGATGACAAGGTCAAGAATTTACGTCCATTCGTCAGCGCACGACATCACCTTTAGCGCCTCCATTTTTTTTCTTTTTCTTCTTTGATCACGCTCCTCACTTTCCGCTGTGACAGCGAGTGCGCACACTATGGAGTGCAGGGTGGGCTCGCAGCGGCATCCCGTGGCGGCCATGGCAGCTAGTCAGCTCACGATGCTCAAGCCAGGGAATGAACGTTGTGTTTGCGCATATTTTAAGTGGTGATTTTGGTTTATCGAACCATTTGTCGAAAGAAGAGCGAATGATTTGAACCCTACCTTGAAATTGAATCGTAAATTCCATGATGCGCACTGTTCTATAATGTTTGATATGCGTAAGCACGAGGGGGGCAGAGTTGTCTGCCCACGCTCCCCGCTTGATCATCCGAAATTAAGGGGGGGGGGGCATGAATTCAGCCCCACACCATGGCTTAATCAGACCGAGGATTGCTGATACTCACCATGGTAGTTTAGTGGCTGTGGCGCTCGTCTGCTTGCCCGAAGGTCGCGGGATCGAATCTCGGCCGCGACGGCTGCATTTTTCACGGAGGCGATATTGCTTGGGACCCTTGTGCATTGAAGGGCTCCAGGCGGTCAAAATTTCCAGAGCCCTCCAAACGGCGTCTCATGATCATGTCGTGATTTTGGGGCGTAAAAAAAACCCTACAAATATTAATATTGAGGTCCCTTGATATATAACCCACTGGAACGGCTGGGCCTATACGGCAGGTCGTTGTGAGAAGCCCGTCATCAGTTCATTTTCATTTTTGCATCTACGGTGGAGCTTGCTTTGTTTTTTTTTTTGTTTTTTTTGGACACCACAAAGGGCGAGAGGGTGGGTAGTACGTCAGACTAGGCTCCTTGATGGAGAACCATGCGCACGCCCACCTTATAGGCGTGAGCACGGAGAGAGGGGGGAACAAAGTCCACTTATTGACATACTGGAAAGGAGGGCGCTGCGATTCGCGAAGAGGGGGCGCAAAGTTTATAAGTAAGGCGGTGCTTCGACGGGGCTGTGAAGGGCAAAGTTCGTGATATACCTTGTGGCCCAGCCTGTCGGCACTGATAAATTTTCTGCGTCACTAACTGTGCCAAGTGCTACGAGATGATGTCATACCTCTGAGATGTCTAAGCAGTGTCTGCTCATGTTCGCTGAGCATGCGGAAGAGGACCGTCGATTCAGGTGGTACTGTACTTTGGGAAACGAAGACACAACAAAAAAGAAGAAACGCAGCTAGGTTGAATTCTGTTTCCGCATAACATTTTATAAGGTGTGATCAACGACAGAAGTGCTCTGCCTCTCCCCTAGGTGTCTGAGCCGTCATCGCAAGCACATAACAGTATCAAATATAAAGGTTTCAAGTGTTTTCAAGTATTTTGATCGAACCACTGAAGTGAGAGCAAGCAATCTTGTGGAAAAGTATAGGGATTACAAATTCCATGCTTTCATGTGTGTTTGAATGTAATATGACATGGATGGTATCCAGTAAAACCCCGCGCTAACACAACAGCAACAACAAAGAAATTAATTGGGAAACTATCGTCGGTTTCTTTCTCGTGTTGGCGCTGTGTTTTATTAGTTACTATCCTTCATTGAACACATCCAACTAGCCCATTTTCGCGGGACAAATTAAAACTGGTGACCGCAGTGTAAACATGGCATCGGATAGAAAGAGAGAGAAAGACACAAACAACTATAAAAGGAAATGGGCTGCGAGATATAGAAGCTTGTGTTTATCCTAATCACAGAAGGGGTTATCTATACCACCGCAACCCGCATTAGGATAGCCTTATGAAGCATAGCGTTGTACATGCGCATGGCTGCCTTCGGCGCTCCTGACTTTTTAAGTGTGTACGAAGGCTCGGGGGAGAGGAACGATTATTACACTGCTGCATAATTTGGTTAAGGCCCACCCTTAAGCTATATAAAACAAAACTTGCAGTCCGAATCGCACGCTCTCCGGAAACTTGGCAGGGGAGGATTCGAAGGTCGATTTCGCATTGCGCTTTTTGAATGGTACGTTAAAAAAGAAAGGGAACAGTGAGCCTGCGATTCCTTCATCACGAGCGTTACATAACTTTTTGGTGCCTGGTGTTCTCTCGGCCCCGTCTATGCCACGTCGTTCGCTGCAGACCATGTGCTGCTGACCGAAGCGTGCACTCGTGCCGAGATGTGTCCGGCGGTCATCGAAGGTCAAGTGCAATGATTCGCCTTCGATCGAATCCCGAGAGGGGCTCGGCTCGACGTGTGCGACATCGGCTCTCTCATCTGATGAGGATGCGTGGGTCCGAGACTGCGCGCTTGAAAAGGTCAACACTACCGTATATATATATGCGCCTGCTTTCTCATACACTCGGGACGCCACTGGTCGTCTCCATGACGACCATATATGTTTGCAATCGTTGGATCACACTCAAAAGTGGAGATCAAACGTACTGTGCAAGCTGGACATATGTAGCGGGAAAAAAGTGATAAGTAATACAATTTTCATGATTCGGCAATAAAGTTTATGTTCTGCTTCTTTTTTCCGGGAATATTATAGCTCGAAAGTAGACATTCTCTTATATCCAGAGATAACGGTCCCAAACCTGTATATACGGGACTCGAAAGACGCTGTTCTCAAAAGCTATTCGGCATATCTCCGAATATCCAGTTTTGCCCAACTATGCAGTTTCACCACTCAAACCGTTACTGTGGGGCAGTTATTTTTCTTTCAAGAACGTGACGATATAAGTACCATTTTTATGATTTTTTTCTCGTCTTAAAATCCTGAAAGTGCGTCATGCTGTTATCCATGCATTCATAATTGCATTACATTTCTAGCAGTGGAGCTGCTGTTCGATACATTCTTATTTTCGCTGTTGCCCTGAATTCTTCATTTCCTGGATATTGACAAGCTGTGCAGGTGGGCTTTGTTCAGAAGCTGTCACGCTTTGTGCTAATTAAACAGAGTACAAGGAATAAAAGAGTTTGAATATTTTTTTTATGGTTCTGATTGCACTAGACCTTTTACGGTCTCACTTGAGTTTCTTTACGTTTTTGTTGACGGTGCTGACGCAGAGCACAGAGTTTGTCTTCAAAAATCTTATTCGGCGTTGAGAGTTGGTTGTGGCACATTCTAAGATATATTGATAGGCTCTGATTATTTGCAGGCGACATATGAACAGTCTCGTGCTACTACATTAATAGTTGTTGGTGTATTAATGTCCTAAAACAATCACGTTATTATGAGAGACGCTGTAGTGGTGAGCTCCGGAAATTTCGACCACTTGTGGTTTTTTAAGGTGCACCTAAATCTAAGTACAAAAGCCTCGAGAATTTTCTTTTCGATCAAAAATGAGGCCGTAGAGGCCGGGATTCGAACCCGTGACCTGCTGGTCAGCAGTGGAGCATCTCAACTGTTATAGGGTGGGTGTGTTGATATTACAGTTCATGTGCATGCTATAGTGCACAGGCTTCAGGAGCTGCTTGTGCTTTACTTTCAGTTTGTTTATTATCGGACTTGTTAGGAACCGGCAGCACAAAGATAACAGAAAAAAAAGTATTTGTGACATCTGCTGTGTTTTTTGTCCAAGTATGTAAGGCAAACATATATGTTTGCCTTGCCACTGCCTAACAAATACGCGGGTTCAAGAGACTCCCTTGAATGTTCAAGTGCTGGCGAGGGTCGAAAACTGCGAACGCTGTGGTTGGTCTGTAAATGGTTCTATGGCTCGTGCGCGTACTTATGTGATTGCCATTTAACCGATGGCGTGTCCAAACTTGTCGAGTCGCGCTGTTGCGACCGCAACTCTTAAGTTAATCCTCGCGGCTGTGAAGCGGCGCCGATGCGACGCTCCCGCTCGTAAAGGCGCGAGTTATAACATGACATCCAAGATTTTAAATCATTCCCCTGCCGGTGCGCCGAAGCTCGGAGGTCATGGTTGTAACACCAGATGTGCTTGCACCTTGACATTGGAGGGCTCTTGACTTCAACTGCATGTAGCTTGAACTGTGCCAGGAACTCAGCTTTGGTGAGGATAAAGCTATTGAGATGGCGTGTAACCTGTTTGTAACCGACATTATGCATATATATTGCTGCTACTGACTATACTTCATAGTCATGTTATATGTAAGGGCATGAAAACTAGCTGTTCAGGTCGTCTATTCACCGCACTCTGTAAGATCACCGTGTGTGTATTGAATTTTGCCATTAGCGGTGTTCCTTACTCGCCACAGATAACATGTGTACATATGGCTTCTGATAGTCATTTTGTTCTTTTCGTATTTTTGCATTCTTTTTTTGCTTTTGTTTCTTTTCTTGTTTTTTTTTTCAATATTAGTACATGACAGTGGGATAGCTGGTGAATGTATCCTGCCTTCCCACGTTTTTCATATTCAAATAAGTAAAACATAAATGAGCTTATTAATAGAGACGTTTCCTGCCTTGTGCTTCGTGACGTTTCCGCTATGGTAGGGAGGCCGGAAATAGTGAGGGAGGAAGCAGAGAGGTTAACCAGGAAGACTTCTGCAGGGTTGGCTTCTCTACACTGCAGGATAAGGGAAGGGAAGTAGAGAGATGAGAAAGGAGGGAAGAAAAGAGGAAAAAAAAGAAGAGGGGTTGTGAATTCACTGCAGCTATACAGTGAAATCCAATAAAGAGCAATACCTAGCCTTCCGCGGCTTGCAAGAGCCAGATATTTTGCAAAAAAAAATAACAAAGTCATTCGGTATTGTTCTGAAAAAAAAGCGTGTTTTTCAAGAAAAGCCACGCAAACGGAGCGAGAACTTGTATGGGAAGACACAGAAGCGTTTGACAGAAAGCCGCGACAATTCCGTTCGTTTTCCAGTATTCGTTTGACATCCATCATTGGTCCGTACGCATCTTCGCATCCGCTATATTGTCTATTCGGCGGTATGGGTGACATGAAACGAATGTGATCGAACGAAAAATCCTCACGCATATGGTGGCCCCAGTTTACCGTGTAATGATTCTCATACTCGAAAGGTGTGCCTGAACATACAGGCAATCAAGATGGTGACATTTTACACTCATTCATTTGCGATTATTTTACGAGAAATCAGTAACTTCGTCGTGAACCTGTAGTTGTAAACGCCGAACATAAACTTTGAACCGACAGGAGTTGGGTCTTTCTGGTGTTCAAGTAATCACCTGTTAAATTTTCGACAAAAAGGTTCCAAGTTTCATGATAAACATATACAATTCTTCGAGGCGTGCTGTGCGCGCATTTTATCCTCATTGTCGCAACCATTGCCACCATTATTTGTGTTATCGTCACCGTTCTAAGCACGTTATCTCCATGGACATAAGCACATCTCGCCTGTATCAAGTTGTTCTTTCATACGCCGACAGAACACACACCTTTCCTGCACATCCTTTCATATTCTCAGCATCCTCTTCGAATAAATTTTCTCCAAAATCGTGGATTGCAGTGCACTTCATCTAAGACAGTCGATCCGTATATACTCTTTCACTGTTCGCACTTTTATGACTTTCAGGGCATGCGCGGTACACGCGCTGCTGTGCGTTCTATCGTATTACTTTGCCTCTCTTTCTTTCCCTATTCTTTTCTTACCATTTCCCCATTACCCAGTGTAGGGTAGCGAACCGGGTGCAACCTGGTTAACCTGCCTGCCTTTACTTTGCTTTTCTCCATCTTTGCTAATCTCCCTGTCTTTCCTCCTCTCTTCCTCCCCCTTTCTCTGAGTATTTTTTTTATAATGGCGCACGTTAGATACAACACATGTTATTTCTTATACTTATTCGCCATTAAAACAGCACATATTCCACCTAATTATGATGAGACCATAATCTAGGCTTGTTTGATCGCTAATAAGCAATGCCCTCTCTATATTTTGTAACATTACACTCGCCAGACTTGGCTCCATGACTTGTTCTCAGCCCATGTAGCTTGTGCTCGTGACTTGCACATGTACTGCCAGACTACTAACTGGAGACGTATTATTGCAGGAGCTACTGCCCATATAAACTGTCTGTGCGCGGTGATTCGTCTTCCCCCAACGTAAACGCACAATTGAACCTAAAGACGCCGAGTCCGAAACCGGTAGGAACACAGTCACTCATTCAAAGCAAGCAGGAAAATATTGGGAGGCTGTCTTTGTAGAGTAACTTCAGCACCTTCGTTGTAACAATCGCTAGTGTTCCCGTAAGGTACTTTGGAAATAGCCTTAGCCAAATACTCTCCGCTCAACGTATTCTATTTTCTCGATTGAGTATTTGTTTTTGTTTGCTCAGTTGGCATATGTATCGTGGTTGTATATCGTGCGTATGTACGTAATTATTTAGGAGTCACTTTTTATATGCATTCCTTATTTCTTTTACATTTGTAGATGTTGTGATCTGATTGCAAAACGGCGGTCTGGGCCGATTATTGTCAGAAAGAAAACTTTCAACCATAAGTGGTGAACGCGGGGAATAAACATTTTGTCGGAGTGTGCAGCTAAAATCTAACTACTCCGGATATCGAGTGAGTGTGGAAGACGCAGTGACTGCATTTGCACAGATGCGCAAGTATTTATTGTTTGAACTTACTTCAGCGAGATCCATTTCAATTTGAAGCGATGCCATCGTAACAAAGACAGGAAAAAAAAAACGAGGAAACATGTCATTAGTTATAGTCATTAAAACGATATAGCTTTAGAAGCCCGTGAAACTTTGTTTAACAATGGCGGGTGATGGTGGGCATGAGTGAATATAGGAAGCCCCAAGAACGTAAAGCAGCCAGACAAAATGTGCTAGCGCGAGTTTTCGCTGCCACTTATTTTTATCGTGACAAGTTCTCCGTGATGGTTCAAATTCTTTGTCTGCAATGTAGGCTGATGGTTAGGTTAGACTACAGTGCACCACTGTTATGTTTTCACTAAAAATCTCACTGGAACATCCGTATACGTTTTCTGTGTAACTGAGTGCTGTAAAGAAAGGATTCTTTTTTTTTTCTTGAAGCTTCCCCAGCCTCGCAGGCTTGTGCTAAAACCGATTTGCCAGTTACTGGCAGTGTACTATGATTCACCGGGCAGTTGTTTAAAAAACTGTCATGGTAGCCTTGTCGGTAGAACGAAAGAAAAATGTTACGACTTATTACAATGAATCACCGATGGTAAAAGTATGCTCTAACGTATGTCCTTGCAAGTGTGCGCGAGAAATGGCATGCGTCCGATGATCACTCATTCATGCATCACCATACGTGCGTGTAACCTAAAGTGTCCCGGAAACGACTCAACGTGACAAGCACTGCCTTCTCCACCACAGTTGGCACTAGAATGCATTCGAACGATGTGCATTGGTCACAGCATCAGGGTATAAGCAGGAAGCACGTTGTCCACCGCTGCTGCGTCAAGCGATATCGCCGCTATTCGGCTCCGTCTCGGCTGGTCATTGACAGGATCTCACTTCGCCAGCGTGCAACCCTGTTACACTTTCGTGGCCGGAGCAGCAACAATCTTTTGTTTCTTCTTGCCACTTGCGAGGCCGAACGTCTGCGACTTCGAAGGAATGTACTGACCCCCCGGGTAACTGCGTTCAGCTGAAGGAACCTAAGAGTCACTCACGAGAACAGCGTAGCCACCAGAGGCTATTCAGCACAGCACCACAGCTGGGTACGTGTTCTGCTTCTTAGACACTTACGTCGGCAATGGAGGCTCCAAGCAGTAATCCTGGAATGAAGATGACGTCGCTCAACGAACGCGCGAACGGTCGCAGCACCGCGGAGTAGAAAGTCATGAACTGGACAGATAGTGAGGCCTTCTCACTCGATGCTTTTTGGAGAACGCTGGCGGAATGTTCTCCTCGCCAGACACTCGGGGCGTTGGACGAAGTCGCCTTCCGTGTGTCCCGCGGACGTCCGACGGAGCTCTTCCAGAAACACCCGCGAACGTATACGGTGGAAGCGCGCGACACAATCCGCCCAGTGGTTCCGAAGGCACAACGGCGTCCGGACGTGTCACCCACCACAGCTGTTGATTGGTCGACGGAACGAGCGGCGCACCTTCCCGACTGAGTATGCGCGGAGGCGAGTTTGTCTTTGGTTGTCATTTTTTTTTTCTCCTATCGGTCTCTGTCCGAAACCGCAACGGAACCAGGGGGGCCTCGATCCTAGGTATCCGCTAGCCCGGCTTCGCAGTCGTCTGTGACGTAGACGCCCGGAGGGTTGAGTGTCATCGCCTCGCCGGCCTCGTCGTCGACGGTCGTCGTTATGATGGTTGGCAGTTGAGGGGCGGCGGCCTCTTTTCGCCGTTTCTCCCAGCGCGAAATCCAGGGAAGCGGAAGGCACATGAGACCGGAGAGAGTGATGACCGATCCGGCGACGTAGAACGAGGCGTCGTACGTCCCCGTCAGGTCGTAAAAGATGCCTGCGGAGAAAACAAAAAGTACTGAATGAGACAGTATTGTGGCGTGTAAGCAATCATAGATAGGACTAGATGAACATTGAGATCCCGAATGCCAACAAGGGTGCAATTCAATACACCACACTAAATCAGCTCTTCGTGATCTTGTTCGGGATGAGTGGCACTGTAAGTTGAATTTCAAGTACCTTAAGAACGCATTTACTGTTTTTATAATCGAACGATTGGGAAAGTCTGTTGCACATTCGTGGGGAACTTTGGTGGTGGACGCTTTAATGAGTCATTGATTCTCATCTTTTGCTTTTCCTTACTTTTTTTTCTGTAGACTGAACCTCTATCCTGAGCGAAATTACATGCTTTGCATTTCACAAACGCTATGTCTTGGTGTTTTATGTACATAATTACATATTTTTTGTCTCTCTGAAGACCAAAGCCCTCTGTTCGCGTTCTATCATCATACATGTCCAGTGTGGATCAGTGCCCACTTTTCATTTACCGAATAACTTTATCTACTGCACAAACTGTTCGTTTCCTCAACTGTTATCAACTGTTCGTTTCTTGCTTTTGTCTTGAAACCAAGTATATTCTATCACAACAGCACAGCGGCAGGTAATCGTCAGCGCTGGTGTCGATTTAACTTGGACGGCAACTTACCGGCGACTGGTGAACCGATGACGGACGCCACGCCTTGGAATAGTAGTAGCAGTCCAAATGCGTTCGTGAGTTTCTCGACGCCGAACATCTCGACAGCAATTATAGAACGAAGGGCGGCAAAACAAGCTGTAAGGAGAGAAATAGAGGACGAAAATTGGAGCTGTATGTAGTTCACAAATATAACGTTCATTTACATCACTGTGCGACCACCTGTGAAACCTGCACTGTATGTGCGAGGTGCGTATTATGTGCAATGTGTATCTCCTCCTCCTCCTCCTGTTCTCCTTCATTCTCCTCTCCCCATGTAGGGTAGCGAAATGAACTTAGTCTAGTCAACCTCCCTACTTTTCTGATATTTTTTTTGTTCTTCTTCTCTCATCTTACATTACTTACACCTATAGAAAAAAAAAGAACTGACTGTTCTAGATTTACACTTATTGTGGGTGCAGTTGCGCTCCAAGCAGGGCTTTCACGTGAGAATTCAAGAAGTGGTTAACTGTGAGCATTTGTATACACTTCACAAAGCATGTTAGGCAACATCTGGAAATAGTACACACCACAGCACGGCATGCTGGAAGGCTGTCAGTCACCTTCATTTTCGTTCACGTATGTAGCAGAAATACCTGGAACGTGATGCGGAAACCAATGTTTCTAGTTCTTTGCTTCGGTAATTGATAGTCCATTCATGTAAATAATTGATAATTGATTACCAATTGGTAGTTCAAATTCGTCTAATGAGGAATGAATGAATGATGAGGAATGAATGAACTGTTGTAAACCATATTAACACTACTTCGTCAAGGAGACATATTAATCAAACTTTGAAGTTTTAACATTGTTTTCATTGCTGTATATTCAAGCGCTCAGAAATGAAAGAATTTGTTTAGATCAATAAGCGGAAGGTAGTAGGCCATATTCAAAAACAACAAACCTTCACTTTATATGCTGAAGGTAACCTCGTTCGGCCCTTGTTAACTGCTTAATGGGCATTTTATTTGGCATCAGATCTCGACATTAAGAATTGATGAACCAGCTGAGATCAAATCGAAGCATTCCGTCTGGTCTCAGTAACGTGGTCTGTGATATATTCGTTGATGGGTGGCACTAAACTTGTACATAAGTGAACCTAATTTTATTAATAAAGAGAGCTTTGCCACTTCTTCACAGGACTGACCGTTTATCGTAACCTACCTTTTATAACACTGTGGAAAGCTGTAGCAAGTGTCTTTCATGGGTCCACGTTTCATGGGTCCATCTTTTTCATGGGTCCACGTTTTTTATTGCTACTTAATTTATAAAAGTTATCCTACAACGATGTCAAAGGTAATTACCCATAAGTATGATTTTTTCTAGAATGCTGAGATGAGATTGCGTTTTTGCATTCGCCTAATTTATTACTTCATGAGCGTTTATTATTTTAAAGATATTCTTTATTGATTTCAATAAAGATTAACTATTACTGAATTCACCTTTTGGTAGGTAGCTGTTTTTTGCATAGGCACCATTTTTTAATCAACAAAGTAATTTACATGCTTGTCTTACTTTTTCGCCTACTTGTAGCTCAGCTTGCTTTGATTGGTGATTTACAATAAATAAAATTCTCTTCATTCTGTATGAGAGTGTCGAGAACTCTCGAAATAAAAAAAAACTTGGGATCGTGAGAAGCAGTGTCGCCAGGTCTCGCAATGTTGTCAGCTTGCACAAGCTTACCTATGGAGAAACCGAAGACGGCACTGTAGACGAGTAGCATAGTGTAGGTCTCGAAGAAGGGACACAAGGCCGTGGCGAGACCACCCACAGTGAGGGCGATGTTATTGATGCAGAGGGCGTTAACCTTCGGTCGGTCGGACACCCAGCCAGAGAACACACGGCCCACCGTGTTAGTGATGCCAATGGCCGACAAGATAAAAGCGGCCTTATCCGGTGAGATGCCTGACAGAATTGCCTTGTCTACGATGTACATGAAAGGAATGAAGAAGCCCGCCAAGGTCAGGAACCCAGACACTGCCAGAGTCACGAACGTCGGACTCGTCAGGAGCGAGATGTCGAGCATTTGGGTCAGTGTATCGGTCACCTCTGGAGACAGGCATCCTAACTTCTTGTGTGGCCCCTGCTTGGGCAAGTTTGCGATGCTTTGGTGGTACGAGCCGATGTCCTTCTGTGAGCGGTACTCCGGTATGCGCAGAAGACTGGCGCTGAATAGGATGTCCTGGCGGTAGAAGGGCCTCATTTCGGGCGCCGTCATCCGGCGTGCCCTGCTGTTGTGACTCTTGGTGAAGGACAGCTTTCGAAGAACGGGAGGAGCCTGGTACGCCGGTTTGTGATCGACGCGGAGCTGGTTGTTGTTGTGGCAACAGTTGAACTGCTGCTCAGCCTTGACAGCTTCAGAGTATGGCGGAGGCGGGCTGTTGTTGCTGCCGCTGGTGGAGCTGGAAGCGCTGCGTTCTTCGCTGTTCAAGATGGCGTCGTGCACGATGCGGGGCGGAGGGCAGCTGGTCTTGCGGCGTGGCCCGTCGTTGACAATGAGCGTGTCGTCGATGCCGTCCTCTACAGAGTCCCACTTGGTCATGGCGTCGCGCGCTTCCTTTATGCGCAGCAAGAGTGGCTTCAGCGGTACGGGCTCGCGTTTGGGCTGCGGCTCTTCTATGGGTCGGAATAGGGCGCCCACCACGCAGCAGTTAAGCGTCATGCCAGCCAGGATCAGCATGGAGCCCCGCCAGCCGAATTCGGAAACCAGTAGCTGACAACAAGGCGCCAGGAGGAAGCCTCCGATTCCGGAACCGCAGACGGCCATGCCGGTGGCGAAAGCTCTTTTCTTCTCGAAGTAGAAGCTGATGTTTACGGCAGCAGGCAGGAAAATGAAGCCGAAGCCAATGCCTGCAAATATCATGTGGCATTATTTCAGCCGAGGGAACAGCAGCACGGAGGCCTCTATAGGCACATGAATGAATCACAAGAGAAACAGCGCAGTTTGTGCAGTAAATGGTTGTGGGCATTCCGAAGCGGTGCACAAGTGCACGGTTTCATTCTGGTAATGGTGACTACATGTAGACGGGAACGGAACACACAGATGCTCAAATACCAAGTTTTGAATAAAGTTAGTGAACCCCCTCAGTGCCGAAAATATGCTAGTGTCATCGACAGTTGCAGTCTCATTTGTCAATCTTATAATAACATAAATCATAACAACATTCAAAAGCAACTTCATAACCTGCTTTTTCATTCATCTATTCCAAGCACATTCGTCTTTTCTCAAAGAAATCTATGGGGATTTTGCGTGAGTATTCTGCTCTGTTCCCTGAAAATGTTCAGTTATCACGCGAAGTTCTTATATTGCTCAAAGATGCCATTGCGAGATTGCAACTATGTGATCAATCGACCTACCGCTAAGGAGTCCAATGGTGATGTATAGCTCTAGGATGCTTCGCGCGAAAACTGCGCCGCAGAAGCCAGCGGCCGCCAGTAAGCTTCCTCCGATGGTGACGGGCCGACAGCCGAAGGCATTTGCCAATCCCGCAGCCACAGGACCTGTGGCGCAAGTGTAGAGAAGGTAAAACAAACGAATCAGTAAAGCATGCTAAAGCATTGTTTCCTGAGCATAATCTCTATAAACGACTGGCCCCAGCTTTGAAAAAAGTACGCCCAAAATAACGGACAAAATTTCAAATGTTGTGCTGTTGTGCCAACTATAACAACCACTTAGCTCAGACTGAATGCAATCACAAAATTTACGACGGAGTGAACTGTGCGGCCGACAGTTGAAAATTATATCAGATACCTGTCTTGTTCTGCGGAGCAGTGTGAGACAAAACGTTCGTATATACAACATGTGAAATTAGCAACACAAAAAAATAGCAGCATCTCAAGGCTATGAGAGAAAATGAAGCTGTCAGTTTCTCAAGAATTGGAAGCAGGAATAAACAATAAGATATGTCCCGCATCCAAATCACCATGTGATTAAAAGGTATGCCGTAGTGAACGGCTTCGAAATTTTTGATTGTCTGGTGTTTTTAACGTGCACCTAAATATAAAAATGAGGATTGACAACATCACAAGGTGGTAGTCATTGTACGGCGCTAAAGTGAAGTCTGCATGAATCTCTTATATATGAAAAGGGGTTATCTTTTTATAGATGAAAAGGGGTTATTTTTCTGTCTAATGACATTTCTGTGGGCTAATAAACATGCGTGTAAAGTGGAAACACTTTTTGATTGATATGTGGGGTTTAATGTCCCAAAACCACCATATGATTATGAGAGACGCCGTAGCGAAGGACTCCGAAAATTTCGACCACCTTAAAGTGGAAACACTGAAACTTGCTCTTGACCTATAGGTCTGCACGCATGATTAATGTTTTCTTGCACACGGCATCACAGATTTTGTCTCTGATCAGTGATCAGAATGTAATCATTTTTGAACAGATCAAGCGCAAATACTCTTACGTGTATCAGTTCCGGAGGTCATTTTCTATGAAAAACAAAACAAAAATGAAAGCAAAATAAACAGAAAATAACGCAAGAGGGTCTCCTGGTAAGAAATTAGGCAATATTTAGTGCAAAGTGACACAAAAAACGAAAAGGGAGGACATAACACGATGCAAGCTATATAGACCACAAGTGTCCTGGTCGTGAAGCATGCCACGGATTGTAATTATGAGCTGCAAGCACTATGCAAAAACTCCGTTGGGCACAAACATATGGTGGCTTGATTCAAAGCCAGCCACGGCAACTAATGACGAAATCATTCACCGTAACACTGTCACGCCTTGTCAGCATGCTATATATCTCACCTCACCAAGGCCGGTTTTCCAAATCACCGCGCTGCATTCCGTACCAGGCACGTGCCGCCGTATTCATGGGCTCACATTTCGTTTTGCCTACTTATGCTCTTCTTTCTTGTCAAGATACCACGCAACGATGGCAAAACGCAGTTGCGAGTCGCCGATAAGCGTGGTCTCGCGTGTAACTATCTGCAACTTCTTATCAGGCTCTCACTACTTCAAGACGGAAGAATGCGGGATGATCAGATTGCGAACTGCTGGAAGACGTTTCGCGTGTATCTACATTATGCCCCTCGCGCGCACGTGCTCCAGATGCTTCGCAAACGTCCCGAATAGAAATCGTCCTTGCGCACAAGTGGGGCTCCCCAATCTCGAGGACTCCGCGAGATTATCACGCACTGCTCCACGTCACGCACGAGCTGATTCCTCCTGGAAGAAATTGCGTGTTCAAGCTGTCGACAGACAAGGGGCCACACCTCGTTATCGGTCTCACGCGTTGGCCGACAAGCGTTTGCTGGTCCATGTCAGCGTGCACGGTTAGACGAGGACGGAACAGCAACAACCCAATATTCCTGGGGACTAGGGACAACTAGTGCCGCAATGTTCTTTACATTTTGACCACACCACTCAACTGGGACACGGAAAAGCAGGCACGCTCACTTTGTGGTTACTGGTACTTCCAGTGTTAGCGCGTTTCACGTTGAGTAATAATAATATCTGCGGTTTTACGGGCCAGAAGCACGACATTATTATAAAACACGTCGTAGTACAAGGCTCTTTCACCATCTAGTGTTCTTTAACCTGAAACGGGGTCGCAAAGTACATGGGTCTCTATCATTCCGCGTTCATCTATATATGACCGCCGCGTTTGGGATCGAACCCCTGAACTTCGTGTGTCAGCAGCGGAGTACCGTAACCGCTGTACCGTAGCGGTGGACTGTTTCAGGTTTACTTGTGTTCAATGGTGATGTCATTAGTTTTAGCAATCCAGTACAAGGCATTTCACCTACGTTTTCAGTTCAATATTGTCCCGCACCTCATCTGTATTCGCACTACGTATTATAAAATGCTCAGTGGTCATACCTGCAAATGTTTAATTAGAATGCAAGTTTGCAAGAACAGACATGACAAGCATGCGTGCGCGTTATTTTAGCAACAGACGTGATGAACTTACAAAACGAACTGATCTGCAGCGAAGAGGCGTAATTCTTCAAATATTAGTGAGTCGGTTTCAAACTTTAATTGCATGGCGTGTAAGGTACAAATAAAGGGAGAAAAAAGCTTGTATTGTACTTCGACACGTGTCCCTTCGACTTCTTGTGTCCGTCCCATATGTGTTGCAGTTTCAATCATGAATATGTATCATGTCATCTCGTCAGTACCGGTGGGGCGCAAGAAGTATACTTTATTTAAATTTCGTGCAAATCCAGTGCATATGGGTAGAATCACACTTGTCTATAGAGCAGTGGATCACGTGGCTGTCGGCAGTGTTGTTGGCCGCGGCTTCTACCTCACGTTAGCTTCGAGCTTCCGTACATGCTTTAATTATAACGCAATGGCCCAGCATGTGGTATGACCATGTTTGGTATCATTACGGCGTCAGTCTTTGCATAGTTATGCAGAAAATGGCAGCTGTAATGGTCCGCTGTAGACAGCTGTGATCACCGACCCACAAGATAGTTGCTAATGCTGTAGCACAATAAAAAATGCTTTAAAACACAATTTCTCCTAAACAAGAGCTGTCTGAAAGATACCCATTACGTGTTTGCGTTGTTGAGAACCAACAGGTGCTTGTTCGAATTTCTATGCAATGCATGGGTAAAAGTAATAGTCCTAATAATAAAAAAACTTGTTTATAGCACCTGCCATTAACAATTAACGTTGCGCAACATATTAGGCCCTGCGCGCGAACCTTCAAAGCATCATCGGGTCATACTGCCATTGATCAATTACCTATCTGACATTGGCCTTGTCGGAATGCTATAATAATACATCTCACATAGAAAAGCGTTGATTTACCTGATACCCTAATGTAAATAGTTTTATCAGTTTCACTTGGTTTCAAGTTTTTTTTTTTCAGATATTTTCTCTCTTCTAAAATCTTTCAGTCCACTTCCTCATCTCTATACAGAGTAGCATGCCAGCGATATAGTGGCGCCAGCAAAAATCTCTGTTTTTCATAATACGCCTTTCTTTCTTGTTTATAGCACTACAATGCTAGTCCTGGTCACCAGCACTGCCAGCAGGGTCCTTATAATTATTCATCTTTTTTTCGAAGAAAGGAAAGATAGGAGCTGTCACAAAAAGCTAGTACTGTTAGTAGCTTGACCAGGCGACAGCCCCTGCTCATCGTTTTTCCCATGTGGAACAAATCCCTGTCCTAAAGATCTTCATATTATCCGAACCAGTCAAACCTAGCTACAGTTCAACCAGAGAAGTAGCAGCATCACTTATTAGGAGTTTTCGCCAGTTTTGACAGCATATGTCTTTAAGCTTGGCATTTATTTCAGTACACCAATAGACCACAGGCCGGCTAATAGGCGCATTAAGTAGTGCCCAGTTTGATTCCTTTTGCTAACATTGACAAAAGTATTAAATCACGTAATAATTTATTCGTTTAGGTGAATTTAACATTGAAAACTCGTGTACCCGTCTTCATAGATCAAACGAACCAATAAGTCAAAAATCAGTAGCAAAATGTGCAGTTACCTTCTATGGCACGCCACCTAGTGCATGCAAGTGCCGAAATTATGTGAGTATAAAGGCGAAACAACGTGCAAAGGAAACAACTCTTAGTTCGTGGACACAGAAAAAGTTACACTAGAACAACTAAAAAGAAACATACCGTGCCCTCGCAGAACACGTGCATATTTAATTCTGATGGACGTATTAGAGGACATACCAGCAAGCAGGTAGCAACCAGTTTGTATGGAAGCCACCCACGCCGTGGCCCCCTTGGACTCGTTGAAGGTGGAGGCGAATTCGCGCAGGAAGATGCCGAATGAGAAGATGATGCCATCGACGATGACGAAGCAGATGAAGGAGGCGAACACGATGACCCATCCGTAGCCTCCATCAGGGGGACTGGGCAGCTCAACAGCGCAGTCCTGGTCGTCGGGTAACGAAGCGGTGCCTTCGTCGTCCTCTTCCTCACCCTCTGTCGGCAAGGGCTCTTCCTTGCGCAGGGACTCATTGGACTTCTCGCTGCTCATAGTCGGCTGCTGGGGGGGTTATCCTTATTCACTTGTTCGCTCCCTTATTGTCCCGGAACCACCACAAGTTGCCTTGTTCAACTGCCTGCGGCTCCGGCCTCCGACACTGCGGACAAAGAAGAAATCATTGCGTTTCACACATGCGACGCGCAGGCAATGAACATTAGTTGTGCTGCAAACAAATAAAAAATAAATAAATAAAATGGGTCACAGCAGCGGATAATGATTGTTGAATTCAAAAGATAGCTTCCTCTTAGGCCTACCGAGGCATTGCACTGGGAACTATTCTTAGTTCATTCTACTGGTGTAATGACCTGTGGGGCCCTCGTGATGTGGGGTCAATCCTCTTGAAAAAAAATTAACGAAATCTTCCCAAAGGGAACCCTGATAGAATAGGAAGCAGCAACGTTGCGCATGGATGCCATCAGTGTTTTCGACTCGCGCCTTGTTGGTGTCCTTGGTATCTCGCCGCTGACGCTTATGTTCGGCTTCCCTTGCTCCTGCCTCGTCGGTGTTGCAGGCGCGATGTCACCATTCGCGAACGCGATCGGCTCTGGCAACCCTCGCAACGCCAGTGACGGCCGGGTTAGGCGAAATCGCTTTGGCGCATGTTTCGGCGGGCTTCGCTTTCCGGCGTCCTCTCAATCGCAGATAAACAAGCCGAAAGAATTTTCACTCGATGTGCGCTCGAACGTTGCGAGTGGTGGAAATGGTGCAGCAAGAGAAAGGTGACACACGGCGAATGCCCTAGGCGAGGGAGAGAGTGACTTCACCGTGCACTGCGAGGGAAGGCGTGACCTACTTGGCACTGCCCCAACACTTGTGGCGAGGGGAGTGCGGTGTGGCGCGTTGGCACGGAGACACGGACGGATAGCGTTACACAGGCTATGAAAAGAGCCGCTTTGCATCTTAAACTGGCCTGGGCTGCAAAGCTCTTAGTAAATAAAAAGCGAGGGGGGACGCATATGATTTACAGCCATCACGACTCTCTTACCACGCCATCATCTCTCTCCTGGATTTTAGTTGAGTTTTTTTAGCTGCCTTCCTAGCTACACCGTAGAAAGTCAGACTAAAGTTGGTTTATAAGCAGTAGGATAACGTATTCACTCACCAGCAACTTAATGCGTGCAGTAATGTGTCGTGTTCGAACGCCTACTTTGAAAGATATTAATAGGAAGAGTAACAGCGCGTCCGTTGACTCATTTGTTGCCGTAATAATCGTTCATGAAAAGTGCGGGAAAGTTCCACCAAACGGTTTTTCTTGAAGCGAGGATGGCGTGGTGTAGTTCCTCGAAAACTCCCTCTGCAGCTATACTAATCGAACCTGCATTTGTAAGAGGCGGCTTAGCCATTTATGGTGTTTTCGCTTTGTCATGTCTGTATACAGAATTTAAAGAATCGGGCGTTTACATTACGTCCCAGGTCCCAGGAAAGTTCATCGAGAAAAATTTATTGGTCACATCAGCTCAAAGCGAAATGAACACTTGTCGTAAATTAGGACGTTATGGAGTACCGTTGTCGAGAAGTAACTGGAAGAATTCTCTGTTCCTGAGTTCGGAAAGTAAACTTACTGTACACCAGGTGACCTGTACTGTTAACAGAGTCTGATACCGCCTACTACCTTTGCAAGTGGTTTAAATTTCATGTGACCGATCACAAGGTTCATTGGGTGACCTATTGGGTGTAGGCTTTTCTGATATGTGCGGGTGTACTCCATGGTTTTTCGGTGTTAGACTTTCTCGTATTGGAGCGTGACACTTTTCGTAAGATCCTAACATATATTTTTTGATTAAAGTCGTACGTGTCTTAAAGTATTTTTCCTCAAGGTTCCCTTGATCGAACACTGTGCTTCCAATAGCGGACGTCATACTGTCTTATCTTTTCGCGCTTATCGTGTGAGCCTCCAAGTCTTCGCGCACACTCTTCAATGACCGAACTTGCAGGGTACAAACGTTTTTAAAGTGCGTGAGGCAGGATAAGGGCTATCTCTTTTGATAAGTGGGAAAAGCGGCGAGCGGGATGCAAACAACATAGAAAAACAACAACGCTAAGCTACCACTGAAGCAGGGAAGCCTTTGATGTGCTGCGCTCTCAAAATTACGCTTCGAACTTCGAGCGAATAATTATTCTGATTTGAATAAGCGATGAGAGTCCAGATGCCATTTAGAAGGACGGTGGTTTTCTCTTTCATGTCATGCTGCCCTTTTTTTTAATTTACGAGGAAGTGTAAAGGTCTATTAATGGCGGGAAAGGGGATTCAGTGCGCAGTTGCCAAATGATACTTCTCATGACATGTCTACGTTAAAAGGCAATATTTGCGCTTTTTTCCCTTCCTTATTCGCGCAGAAGTTCTTTTTCATCATACCCCATCCACGCTGTGACTTGGCGATCATGTTGTTATTTATTATTTTCTGCAGGATAACAGCAAATACACCATGCGTTAGGCTCTGGCTCATTGCACAGGAAGTACCATATAATGACCGTAGGTTTGTGGGGCGATTAAATGCATCAATGTCGCGTTAAATGTCACCGGGCGTTTTCTAGACGAAACTGTTTTATCTTTGTTCATCTAGTACCGGGCTCAGAAATATTAATGTACATTACCCTGTACATGTGCAAAATTTCGACATCACTGTAGTAACTGAGAAGCGAAATCGATCAGAATCATACTGAGTAACACCTAACGCACAGTGTACAATCGCACAGACACCGCAAAATCCTTGCAATAGCGTCTTTTTTGGAAAAATGTTGTTTCATTGCTCTATATCTTTATAGTTCTCTGCTACTACAATTCATGCCACAGCTTGGTAGCAACTGAGGACACGTTCTCAAAGAAAAGGCCAGCACTATCAGTATCTAACGGCATATTTCTCTATTTATTTATAGTACTGGTATCCCATCAAGTGAAGACAGCGTACACATTCAAAACTTAGCACAAAAGCGAGACCAAAACTGGATCGGCAACTACCGCAATCTGACAAAGTTCCCGTGACGCAGCGAGCACTTCGTCTAGCGACGCTGACAATAAAACACTAGTCTGAGCTGTATTTACCACAATCCATTTCCAATGACAACAACACCTCCAAATCTGAGGGAAAAAATAAAGGGTTTTGAGCTCACGTACGTACATACGGCAGAAAACACATCGCCGACAAGGCAAGGATTCGCTCACCAGGTTTCCTGGCCGCGGCGCGGCGGCCGATAAGGTGCCTTCCAAATGACGCGAAGCCCGCGGCTCGAAAGACCCAGAAGGACTCGAGGCGGGACACATCTTCGCCGCCGGTGTGGCTGCTTATCGGTGCCGGCCGCCGAGTGGCAGATATGGCGCGCGCGCATACGAGGCCGACCGATCTCTCGACGACCACCGCGAGAGAGCCTGCTTGTGAGAAGACACTTCCCTAGGTCTTCCCTTCCAATACTTGCGGCCCATGTGATCGATACATGCACTGCCGTCCACATGCTTCCATGCAATGCGCAACACTGCGTTCGTGAAGTGCACCCGGACAGTGAAGAGGAACCTGAAGTATACTGGCAGCCGACCTTGCCAACGCAGAAACTCGAACCCTCTTTGGCGAGTTGAAAATGTTAAAGCACTGCAAGCTGGACCGATTGTTAATGGTTTATTCAGAAACAGCGGAAAATAGTAAGAAACAGCGAACATTAAAAGCAAATGACAAACGAGCGTTTGTGACTTGTTTTCATCTTTGATGATTAGTCCCGTTTTATGCTTTTTTCGCAATGAGGTAAATGTGCCTTATCAGACTGACGGGATGTTTACATACGCTGCGTCAGTACGTTTATATATCGACAATTATGGAATGTCTACGTTGGTCAGTGTACGTCCAGTTCATTATCAGGCAATGATTTGCGCAGCAGAAACTCAAACTCTTGACTTCTTCGGCACGATTCTTTCTCAGCCACCCAAATCGCACGGAATCCGGTGAGCTGGACTACAGCCAGTGACGTAGCCAGGGGGAGGAGAGCATACTAGGCCCGTGCACCCACTCTTCGAAATATTTTACAACACCATGACATATACATTGCGGGAAATGACCATATGCCTCTCCAAATAAAAAAGGTGCCCCTCCACCCTCCCTCGAAAAAGATTCTGCCTTTACCCCTGGCTGGGCCAACCTTTAGTCCCAAGTGATTGGTACATGCTCCATGCTCTGCGTCCCTGCTCTCTCATGTGGCTGGCGAGGCAATTGTGAACATTCAGTCAGATTTTATCTTGCGTACAGCTGAACATATAGCTCTTCTACTTAAACACAAATTTTTCTGAAACAGTTGTATTCCATAATTTGCGCTAATATGGAGGTGGCATTTATGAAGTATTTGTAATTTGTCTGAATGAAGAGCAGAACTGCTACGAACTGTATAAGTTCTGCAGAGTACACGCCGATGCTGTACGTTCCTAGAGAAGTGATCAACACAAAGCTCCAGTAATCTTTGTCATGTTTGTTGATATCTTCAAATCACTTGAAGGAAAACAGCGAGGTGCGCTATTTGGCATTTGTTCATACTTAAAGATTAGAAGCGCTAACACGACAGTAACAAGGAAAAGCACTCGTGTTATGCCCTTTCTGATCTATGTCGTGTTAGCAATTTTATTCTCTAAGTATCTTCAAACCACTGCATCATTCTCGTGTATCTTATTCCAAAACAAGCGCCTGCTTCTGACTTGAAGGCGACGAGGCAGAGGTGGCGATTTCCTAGCGTTTACGAAAGCGCTGATGTTTCGTACAGGAGCTCGGGATATCAGTACTCTTGTGGGTTACGATCGGTCAGTAGCTGATATAAATGCGCTGAACTCTTATAGGCAGGCCAAGAGAGGCACTCGTGAAAAGCGCTTCCAGCTGCATCAAGCTCTGGCCTGTCTGAAGGTATCTTTCAGAGAAGGTGGTTGGGAACGTCATTGTACTTTGGCGATAAGAACGGAAACGGGATGTTCATGTGCTTGTTACTTCATATTGCCAGAATTTTCGTTGACATCAGCGCTGAAGTTTTGGTGAGATGAAATGAAGAAAACTCGGGCGAATCAACCTTATCGGGGAAATTGATTACATGTGAAGCAGTCAGCTGCTGATGGCTCACTTCTTGTCTTGG